CGCCACCTGCTGGCCGTTCTCAGTAACCTATCCTCGTTTTATCTGTTATTCATTCATCTGTATTCTAAGTGCTTGTGTCGGTCAGGATCTAAGCGTCTACTCTCTTATGAGTGTTACATTTGATATTTTTATGAACAAATTTTGTTTTTGGAGTCTGGAGTCGGAGTAGGCGGGGACAAGGTTGTTCAGAGTGGGGGGGGGGGTGGGTGACTCAGTGGACTGAGTCACTATGTCTGTGCTCAGATGATTACCAGTTTGAACCCCGGCCTCAACAGAACAGTCACATGTCAGTGGGCCCTTGAGCAAGGCCTCTGACCCCCTGCTCCTGTGCTGCATGACCCTGCACTGTTACCCCCAAGCTATGGAAAGAATAATGTGGTTGGTGAAGAGAAGCATCCCAGTGCACTTACACTTGTACTTATGCAAACAAAAACATGTTTGTTTATAGAACAACACTGGCTCTTGGGTAAAAACCTGGTTTGCTTTGCAATGAACATGATAATTAATATTTTGTTGTCTGATTGTGTCACTGTCGGTGATCACTAGCTGGCCCCGCCCACTTGTCACCTCCAGGCTTTAATCCCCGCTGGGACTGCACACTGAGCTTCCAGCTGCAGGTGCCGGAGCTGGCTCTGGTCCGCTTCGTGGTGGAGGACCACGACCACACTTCCAAGAATGACTTTGTGGGCCAGTTCACCCTGCCCTTCACCAGCCTACGCACAGGTCTGCTCGCGTAGTTAGCGGCCCCGAAGGAACGCCTGAAAATTCCCGTCTGAGTACTGTTTACTTTCTAATTACTGTGTGCATCCCTCATTCCAGTGCCCTTTTTGCTGTAAAAGATCTAGGTAACACTCATAAAAGACCCAAGTTTACATTTGTCTGATGATTTTATCCAATGCAGCGAGCAGAGGGAAAGGTTAAAGTTTATTTGTACTCCCCCGGATTTGAACCCACGCTCTTTGCATTGATAGTGCAATGCTCTAGTTTTTGAGCTACAGGAGCAAAACAGGTTAATTATTACAGTTAATTCCATAGGAATGGCCAGCAGAGATGGTATTTACCCTGTATGCCAGTAAGTGTTAGAGTATTGGTTTTTAATTTTATTTTTTTTAGTACTATTTTCAACTTTCATTTGAAATCCAATTTAGTTTCAGGTTTCCGTGTAGTTGAATTAGTTATTATTTTAAAAATCCATTTAATTTATTATAGTTTCAGTTTAAGTTGTAGTAATTTTATTTCAAGGGATGGACTGAAACTTGTAGAGCTATTTTATATGTCTGTTCTTGACAGAATCCTACATGAATACAAAATGGATATAATGTAGGCCTACAAATGTCCTTAAAATTGGCAAACCTGTTCTAGGTATTATTAACGGTAATGAAAGATAAACACCATTGCTTTTACTTTTTGTTATTTTATATGTTATTTCAGTTAGTTTTGGAAACAATTTTTATAGTTTTCACTTGGTTTTAGTTTTTTATTTTAAGCATCTTATTTTGTTTCGAGAAAATGTTTTCTTAGTTTTAGTTAATGATGAAGACTCTGGTGTCATTCCTCTTCCCCCAGTGGCATTCTGGGTAAAATACCAGAACTTGCTCCCAGATCTGGTTAATCTCCACTCCCCTCTTCCCAGGTTACCGGCACGTCCACCTGCTGCGGGAGGACGGATCCAACCTGTCGCCCGCCACCCTATTCATCCACATCAAGGTGACCCGCAAGGGCACCACCCTCAGAACTCTGTCTAAGCTCATATCATGACTCCGCCCCGACTCCCCTTCACTGTGTTGTGATGAGCTTTATATCACTTCCTGTGCCCCTTTGAGCATCCCAATGATGTTGAGAGTGATGTCACCCTGCTGCGAACAGGAAGTCACCACTGTGGACTACAGCGGCAGGCAAAGCTGATTGGCTGGGTTTGTGTCTAGACCACATTGACAGTTGACATGTCATGTGCCAATGCAAGACCACATGGGATAAGTTATCACTGCTGAGGAATCCTTATGCTTGCAGGCCTAGTGCCTGGTTAAAAAGACTGAACCCTGTCATTTTTTAACGTGACTATATATGGAAGCTTCCTCCCCCCCCCCCCCCCCCCACATTTTCTGTTTCAATGTGGCTCATCACTCCCTACCCCTGAAGGACATGCACGCTCTACTGGATCTTCAAACCCACTACATCCACTTCACAACAGATTTGCCAGCGACGTGAGGCTTGGCTGCACCACTCACCACCTGCAGGGGCAAATGTGCGGTTTTAAGGAGCTCCACTCGAGAGCTGTACAGACGAGCTTAGCCTTCCGCTGGGAATATGCTAATTTAGCCCCGCCCCTCTGGACCTCGGGATCGCAGCTGGCGATTTGTAGCGTAAACCTGACCTGGGGCCCCTCATGTCAGCTAACTGTGCTGCTCCTAAGTCCTATATGCTTTTGGCATTCCTTTACTGAAATTAGCCTACAGTTTCTGTGCCTTCGTATTAGCAGATGCTGTCAGGTGCTTTGTTACTATTCTGGTTGACATCCCAGACAGCCAATCAAGGACTCGCATATTACAATGTAAACTTGTGTCCTTAGGGAGACCTTAAAGTTAGTCATAGACTTAAGTACTTGAGAGCTCAGCCAAAAACTGACCGAATGGCTTGGAGCACAAAACTGGTGTGTGATTTCAGCTTGATATTGTTGCAAGTTGAGTTTCAAGTATCAAACCAAGTTCCTGTAACTGCTAATGGTGAAAACTAAACAAACATAGCCTAATCTTTGTTTGGTTGCACATTTAAAAATCATTTAATTTTTATTTCATTGTTTTTTAAGCTGTTTTAATTAACGTTTGTGATATTTTTCTATTTGAATCGGCTGCTTCAGGTGTGAAATTTTTACCTGCTCTTTCAGCTTCTCTGCATGAAGTTGCTGCTGCTTTAACTGACCCGGTTCTCTCAAACGGTGTGACCACAGCACTGTTCTACTGTCTCGGAAATACCAGACAGCCGGAGTCACCCATCGTGTCACACAGAGGGGGACACTGACTCCCACATGTGAAGAAGGAAGAATGAAATCCTCCCAGAGCAGGAAGCCTTTTGGGTGGAAGACCTGTGGTTAGGGACATGGACTCATAATAGGAAGGATATTTATTCAAGGCTCTCAAAAGAGGCTGTTGTAGTGTCAGTGCTCAGAATACTTACCCTAAATTGGTCCAAATAATTAGTCTCAAATTACGTTTCTGTTGCATAAAAATATATATTTGGTACAAACATCTACATTACGGCTTGTCTTAAAGCAGTGTTTCTTAAGCTGGTCCTTGGGTACCCCAGATAGTCCACATTTTGCTCCCTCCTGGCTCCAGCTCCCTACTGAGAGCTGGGAAGGAGCAAAAACATGGACCGTCTAGAGGTCCCCGAGGACTGGATTGGAAAACACTGCCTTACAGGAAGCTGCTGGCCAGTTGGCTGTAGGTCAGCTTGGGCCCTATATCTCCGACCCAGAAAAATGAACGCCAGTCCTGCTTCTCTGTGGGACTGACACCCTTTTAGACCATAGAAGGATGAATGTTCACAGAAGGAGATGGGTGGACATAGAGAAAAAAAGAACCTGATTAAATTACTATTAATGGTTCAATATAAACAAAAAATTACCTAGTAACTAAAATACAAGCAGTGTGTAAGTTTATAAGAACATGTGTTTTGTAAATCTCTCTTTAAAATGCTTCTAAGCATGTTTCTATTTCATATATTAAAAAAACACATTTTTAACTTTGACATGTGTGAGAGTAGCTTTCAGCCAGTCCTTTATATGTTTTGGTTACAAAATATGTCGAAATTATACTATAATTATTTTATGCATATTTTAATACATGCAGAATGTCATCAAGCTGACTGTATGAATCAGTAGGTTGTTATACTATACTTAGGTTGTATCAGATATTGGCAAGTAAGTAAACAAACCTACCCATACACCCATCTTCCAACAGCTTATCTAAGTACTGGGTCACTCGACTAAGTATATACCGCAATTACTAAATACTGAAATTACATGGGCTGGTTACAGAAGACTGTGATTATAATAGAAAATGTAATTTCATGAATTCCCTCGTGCTATGGCTTAGTTATAATCCATACCCCCGTTTTCAATAAACACTTATTTAATCATTGTAGTGATCCAGTATGTATGCCATGAAGGTGCACGATCTTATGATTGCGTTTTACTGTAAGAGAATAAACTCAGCTGAAGAGGAAACACAACAAAATCAACTAATTAGGATCTTAACTAAATAACACAATACTAAAGTGTAATAAAGAATATCAACAAATTCATGCTTTTTAATAACGTCAATTACACAACACATTATCAGATGTATTACTATCCCTGTGGGAACATCCTAACGTTAGACCACATGTAGACGCTTCGTCTTGAACTGTGTGAAATGTATACCGATGAGCCCAAAACTGACGACCACCCCCACGTGATACGCATAAGGTTACCTATCTCGTAAGACCGGCGCACGTAGACTAGGGCCGTAGTGGTCTCGTGTACGCATGCGTGGTAGCGGCAGTGACACGCAGTATTTCTGGTGCATGAATTTCAAATACGTTTTTTAATGATCGGACATTAGAGCCAGAAGCTGACAAGTTGCATTGAACCAAACGAGTTACAAGCTCCATTCAGGCCTACAAAATACACCAAAACGTTTTTGCATCTCGTGGATATGGTCATAATTATGGCTCATTGCTGTATATTCTCCAGTACAAATCACTTGAGCACCATCCTGTGGTACTACACACGAAAACTACAGGTTTCAACATTTGGCTTTTTGTATATGTTGGGGGAAAGTTTTGTTAACCAAAAATGCATGACAAATTCATAGCTCCACGACTAGAGGCAATTCAGTAAGAGAAAAACACATTTTTCGATCAGCACGCCACTGCTAGATGACATATATACTTGATAGGCGGGGTCAAAAGGCGAGCGTTTCATGAAAACTACATGTACCAGGAAGCCTTGCGAAAGGCGTGGCGAGTACTGCTGGGCCACATTGAGCCCTTGTCATTTCCTGGTTAAAGATGGCGAATGAGAATGAGACAGCACCGAAGCCGAAGAAAGAAGAGGAGATAGACGATGACCATGTGCACTGCAGCGACTGCGAAAATGAAGAGCACCACTTTAATGATGGGTGAGGGAAATGGTGCCTTTTAAGAAACCGTAGGCGATATGTCACGGTTGTACTCGTTCACGAACTATAGTCTTTTAGTTAACTGGTCCGAAGCAACCTAATTGCTAATACGCCCAGCACTTGCTGTTATTTCATTGGCAGAGAGGTGTTATTGATGGCTTACATTGCCTGCCGATTGGACACTTCACTTATCAGTTATTATTATGGGCGGGACCTGTCGCTTCGTGGCTTGCCGAAGCCGATGCAAGAAGCGTTAGAAATTGAAAAATCAATGGGAACAATATAGCTGTTTTAAGACGATAGATGAAATAGGAGTCAAATTTCAAGCAATCTTCGACCGCTCAACTTTGAATTAGCTTATTAGTTGTCTGAATGATTGGTTAAACGCTTCAGTTGCTCGAAAGTGAATAAACTTAAGTGATGACACTTTACAGTCTGCCGCACCGTAGACAAAGCTGTTGAATTTCTTGCGTCCGAACGCCTTACAGTTGTCAGCTGTTGAGTTACAGCGGGGGTACTTTGTGTTGCAAATACCGAAGTAGCTTTTTCCGCAACGAAGGAACTCCTAATCGCCCGTGTCACGTTGCTGCGTCTGTAAACCCACACCGCATATCTGTCTAACAAGCCGAGCTCATTATCCAAATGATGCTAACAGCCAAAGTGGCCAGAATCACTTGGACATTATCTTGCATTAAAACATTACCTAGTTAAATAGCACGCGTCCTGTGTTTAACTGAGGGGAGTGGAATAAAGGTTATGTCGAGCGACGCTGTCCGCGAGCCCCGTGGCTAGCCGGCTAGCTAGCTGCTTTGTCAGAGTGGCCGGCTAGCTATGCTGCAGCTAACGGGGCAGCCCCGAGAGGCATCTCCGCTTTCCAGGCATTGTCCTGCTCCTCAAGGTCACATACCCAAGCAGCTAGTACCACGGCGTGATTTCGCTCTCTTTTCACAAATTTGCCCAAATAAATCGAGATATTTCGTCGGGGAAGTGGAGGAATGTGGCTAACGTTAGCTGTGACACCGCTGCGCTGCCAACCTGCCTTTTGTCTTGCTCTAAACTCTGCGGATTTTTACTAATTTGAGCACTTCTGGTTTGTTAAAATGAAATATAACTTCTCAGAATGATATACGTGCTTACTTAATTAGATTTTCCAGCGTTAAATAATGGTAACTTTACGTCATTGCTGAATGAAGCGCTTAAAACGTGTTTTTTTTTATTGTAAATGTTGTTTTGAGTTAGTTGCATCTGGCGCAAAACGAAGCAGTTTTGTCAATTAAATTACAAAAAAATGAGATTACTGTCATATTTTTGTAATAATATTGTTCATGACATTAACAGAATAAGCAACATCATAATCGATCAGTATTTAGAGCTGTTACTTCAAGCAAATATATATAACGTGATCTTGATATGACTGTTGGTCATCTCATAAGCTTTGTATCCTAATGGGTTATAGCAAACTACTCTTGCATTTAATACAAGACATAGGTGTGGCATAGAGTAGGTAGTGAGCTGATGACATACAGTGACAGAAACGTGCACGATCTAGCTTTGCATGGAAGGGTAGAGAGGTGAGAACCCGGAACAGGAAATGCTCCTGGATATGGTCAAGCTTTTGAAGGTAGTAGAACATGTTTAACACTGTGCATTGTCCTTCTCAATCAAACCACACATCCTTTGGTCATGTGACACACCATATGTCCTATCCAAATCCCCCTCTTTCCATGCTCTGCTCAGAAGTGAATTGGATTAGTCTGAACTACTATTTAATAGTCATCCTCCTCTCTATTTGGTAATACAGATTCTAGTTAATCTAGGGGGTTGGGTTCTGCCAGGTCACCTATAGTTGCTTCTTTTGGGGAACTGTGGTTCCTCTTCTGCTGCGTTCTCCAGTTTGGTTCATCAGATAGCTGTGTGCAGCTGTACCAAGACTTGCATATGCACAGACTGAACTGCGGGCTGGTCAGCATTAGTAAGAAAGGGCTCCTTATATTTTATGTTGTACAGTTGGCCTTGTGCTGCACAATAGTCTTGAATCCAAAAGGCTCACCAGTACCGTATCCTTAAATGACCCATTATGCTGATGGTTAAGGTTTTGAAGCTGCGGCAGAGAGGAGTATCGCTCGGTTCTTGGGCAATGATAGAATCTCTAGTTTGGAATATCTACGGGTGGCTGTGTGGTTTGGATTGGAGATCTTTGGCTCTTGTTATTGTGGAAGAGACCGATCCCTCTCACCAAATTAAATGAGTATTACATGATGCGGCAGAGATGTTTGCTTTGTTTCCGTGCCGCCTTGCTGAAGATCCCATTGTTTTGGTTGTTGTCTGAACACTTTGGTGGCATAAACTTTCTCCTGCAAGTTAGGCTACCGTGAAAGTTTGTTGGCGAGAATCAAATTTTGACTTTTTAAATACATTAAGATGCTCTGTGGTGCTCGTTTTGGAGGAGCATGTCTACTAACATCTCAGGAGTCATAAAAGGTCGTTGTGGTGTTTTTAAAATGTTTCTTGAGGAGATTGATGTGTCGTCTTTCCTCAGGGAGAAGAGCCCAGGAGACGATAGTGGTGCCAAGAAGAAAAAGAAGAAACACAGGAAGAAGAAGGATAAATCTGGAGGGAAAGAGACCCCTCAGGATCCCCTGGCCAAGGTGCGTGCATGTGTGTGGGTGCGTGTGCGTGTCCGAGTCCTGGGCCTCTGCTGTTAACCTGATTGGATGTTCCCCCTAACCCAGGTGAGCTCGCTTCCAGCAGACAAGTTGCAGGAGATCCAAAAGGCCATCGAGCTCTTCTCTGTGGGACAAGGCCCGGCCAAAACCATGGAAGAGGCGAGTCGTCGAAGCTACCAGTTCTGGGACACGCAGCCTGTGCCCAAACTAGGTAGGAGGGCCCAGTGATGCACCACTAGGGATGTTTGCCTGTTGTATGTGTTGGGGTGGTAAGAAGGTGTGTGACTCCGATGTGCTGCTGTTGTGTTTCTGTGACTGGCTTGTTATGTTGTCGTCACAGATACGGTCTTTATAATTCTGCCACCGGCTTGGGGGGGGTGGTAGTTGCATGTTTTATCTTGCTAAACGGACATCCTAAATGCCTATGCAGGTGAGGTGGTGACATCGCACGGCTCCATCGAGCCAGACAAAGACAACATCCGTGAGGAGCCCTACAGCCTCCCGCAAGGCTTCTCCTGGGACACCCTGGACCTGAGCAACCCCGCGGTGGTGAGTAGTGGTGGCTCTTGGTGGCCCCTCCCCCGTGAGCTAGTCGCGGCGGCCTTCCTCACCTGTCTGATCTCCTCCCTCCCAGCTGAAGGAGCTGTACACCCTGCTGAATGAGAACTACGTGGAGGACGACGACAACATGTTCCGCTTCGACTACTCGCCGGAGTTCCTTCTCTGGTGAGTGCAGTTCCCCGCTGTCTGCGAGGTGGCAGGCCGATTCCTGTGAAACCCAGGGGGTGGGGGGTGGCTCATCAATTTAAGCTTCTGTGCCTGTGATCAGAAGGTCGCTGGTTTGAGCCCTGGTCTCGGCAGATTTGTCACTTCTCTTCTGGGTTCATAAACAAGGCCCCTAAGCCCGCGAAATACCACAGGGAGGTCCGATAAATAGGCCAATCATTGCACTCGCACCACAAGCTACACTCTCGCGTGCGTGCGTGCAATGCTTGATGGTGACATTCAATTGAGCTCTTGAAAAGAGGATTGTTGTAGTATTCATTAGCTCTAAAAGGGTCACTAGTAGTCAAGCCACTCCCCCCAGACTACATCACTTTACTATGGTTGAGTATGCCCTGAGTATCGATTGTGTTGTCTCTAAACCATGTAATAGATTGCAAGCATTCTTATGATGTCACCCATTAGGATGGGCAGTAATGCCCTTTCTGGTCTCCCCGTGGTTCCCCTCCTCCAGGGCTCTGCGTCCCCCTGGCTGGCTGCCTCAGTGGCACTGCGGGGTGAGGGTGAACTCCAACCAGAAGCTGGTGGGCTTCATCAGCGCCATTCCCGCCACGATCCGCATCTACGAGGCGTAAGTGTCATGGAGTGTCCACTCCGGCTCTGCAAATGAGTGCCGCCACAGACCACATCCGATTCCCTGGTGGGGGCAGTGGGTGGTGTGCTGGAGTCCAAGCGGGGAGGAATAAGCGGGAAGCAAGAAGGAATAAATTTTAAAAGTAAAAGATCCGTCTCGAGATCTTGAAAACAAAAGTGCATTTTCTCACCTCGCTGTCTGTCAGTCTGACATCAGCAGTCTGTTTTGGCAGCAATTAGTCAACATGCTCTAAAATGAAGCAGTTGTGCACACGCCCCCCCCCCCCCAAGGATAAAAGGCTTCCTGGGAATTGGGGGTGGAGGGCAGAAGCTTTTTTCTTACTTTTCAGTGGACATAAAGAAAAATGTTTATCCATATCTGTAACAAGAAATCCGTTACAGATGTTGTACCTGACACATGTCACCTCACAGCTTTGGAAAAAATAAAGAGACCACTCTACATAAAAATAAGGACATTTCATATCAGGCTCCTTGAAGCAGGACTGAAGACCAATAAACAAGGAAGAAGCCCTTCAGTGAAGAGCAGGGAAGAGCCAGGCTGGAATTTGCAGAAAAATGTATATTTTACACGGGCACATACCCATAAACTGAGAAATGACTGAAGCTGAAATTTTTGCTGTGGTCTCTCTTTCTCCTAGAGCTGTATGTGTGTTTGTCATCGTTTCCGGGTGCCAACCCCTCACCTTGCATGTCCCTCAGGGAGAAGAGGATGGTGGAGATCAACTTCCTCTGTGTGCACAAGAAGCTGCGGTCCAAGCGGGTCGCTCCAGTGCTGATCCGCGAGATCACCCGGCGGGTCAACCTGCAGGGCATCTTCCAGGCCGTGTACACGGCTGGCGTGGTGCTGCCCAAGCCCGTGGGCACGTGCAGGTGCGTGCCAGCACCCCCGAGAGAGGTCTGCGCTCCCCCTGTTTGGCGCCCCCTCCTGATGGGGACGTGCGTTTTCCCACAGATACTGGCATCGCTCTCTGAACCCGCGCAAGCTGATCGAGGTCAAGTTTTCGCACCTCAGCCGGAACATGACTATGCAACGCACCATGAAGCTGTACCGTCTGCCTGAGGTCAGCGGCGGGGGGCGTGTCCTCAACGGGGGGGGTTCATATGTGTCGGACTGCTTGTTTAGCTAGTATCCATATCCAAAGCAGCTTGTAAACATACAGCACATGATTACAGTGATTACAGTGCAAACGGACACAAGCTCTCCTGTCCCCCCCCCCCCCGCCCCCTTCAGGCACCAAAGACCTCCGGGTTGCGAACCATGACCCGGAAGGATGTCCCGGCCGTGCACCGCCTGCTCCTGCAGTACCTGCGGCAGTTCCACCTGGTGCCTGTCCTCAGCCCGGAGGAGGTAGAGCACTGGCTGCTGCCCCAGGAGAACATCATCGACACCTACTTGGTGGAGGTAAGTGCAGTTCAGCCCGCCTCAGGCGTTGCCCTCAGTACGGGGGCATCCCTGGTCCTGTAGAGCTGTGCTGTCCGGACCTTTCCTCAGTGAAAACAGTCTGCTCGGCACATTTAAAGAGCTGCCGTTTTTTGTTTTTAATTCGAGCTCAAAAGGGAAAGTTTTCAACAGAACCGCGAAAAGGCATCGTATGCTGCAAGCAGATTGTATGCTATTGCTAATTTATTCCTGCAAAGTTATCGGTCACGTGGATGCCAGTGACCTTGAAGGAGATTCTTCCCTTGTTAACTTTGTCCGCATTGAGCTCCTCCTTACGGCTGCTCTTTGTTTTGTGGCATCTGTGACATTTTAACAGGATGAGTCACCGTAATTCTGGTCTTCATTAACTAAGTGCCCCCTGCCACGGAATCCTTATCCCCTACAGGGCGGCGATGGTGAGATAACGGACTTCCTGAGCTTCTACACACTGCCCTCCACCATCATGAACCACCCGGTGCACCGTAGCCTGAAGGCCGCCTACTCCTTCTACAACGTGCACACGGTCACACCCCTGTTGGAGCTGATGAACGACGCCCTAATCCTGGCCAAGGCGGTGAGCCTCAGAGGGCGGCCTGGGCTATGGGAGGCTGGGCTGCTGCTTCGGTCTGGGAGATTAACACCCCGTCACATATGTGACAGTTTTGTCACGTTGGGTGGAGTCAGGAATATCTTGCATATGAACTGTGGGTGTAGGTGTGGGTAAAGTTTTAGTAGTGATGAAATGATTTCCAATTGTGCAATATCACGATAAAAAAAATTGACGTGATCATGGGAACATCTAAGAGAATGTTACATGGTTATTTTGTTAGTACAGCTGCGTTCTGTTCTCTCTCTTTGTTGAAATGTGAGTGTAACTTGTTTGCAAGATCCAGCTGCCAAAATATAATTTTACGGAAGGGCTGCTACTACTGACTGCTGTATTTTTTTAATTTTGCAGTTGTGTATACTTTGTTCAACGGAAGTTCATGCCAATTTTTTGCAAATGCTTAGGTCATGGCTAGTTTGCTTTTATTAAGAAGGAAAGTAGAAGGACTTTAAGCTAAAAGGAAAAACATATTTTAGGAAATATTGCACTCCGTGGAGCTCAGGCAGTCTAATACGGCAATGAAAGCAAACTATGAATAATATAACATAGAATATGACACAAGCAGTGTGCTTTGATGCAGTTGTTTAATATGGGGTGTTTTTACTCACACATAATTACGAACAAGCACTCGGTTACACAATAATCACTTGGTGCCGTCAAGATGATTTATTTTTTTTCCCGACTACATTTAAGTTCCCTGTAATAGCTAAGTTGCAATTTTGGAAATTTCCAATTTATTTCCATTAATTCCCACATATCCCCATTAATTGCCATAGGAAGTTTCCAAATCCCAGAATTTTGCAACCTTAGAAGTACGTAGTAGTGCATTATATTTACAAACTAGGCAACACGGTTGGGTTTTTGTTGGTATGCTTAGAATGCATTGCAAATCCTTCTTTCTGCCAATCAGAAAGGGTTCGACGTTTTCAATGCACTGGACCTGATGGAGAACAAGACTTTCCTGGAGAAGCTGAAGTTTGGCATCGGCGACGGGAATCTGCAGTATTACCTGTATAATTGGAAGTGCCCCAGCATGAGCTCAGAGAAGGTACATGGTGGCCCCCCAGACATGAAAACGCAATTGGTATCTAAGCAACGCAGCCACATACAGTTGTTACTTGTATTCCTTTACTGCTAAGCTTCGCTGGTCATCCTGGGGCTGAATTCATAGATTTATTCATTGTGTTGCATTGTGGGTTGGTTGTCCTTTGCTGATGTTGGAAGTCTTTTCAAGGTGAGCCTTTGTGTTCTTGCTGATCAGCAGAGCTGGTCATTATTCAGTTGTTTCTGGGCTCATTGGCCCGACTCTGCAAAAGCTGCCTGCTTTTCGGCAACGGCCAAGCATCGGGAAACTAGAACTACTGATGGTGCAGATCTCTTGATTTCACTCTAGGAGGCGTTGCAGCTCTATCATAAGACTGATATTTGGGTCAGAACAAATACGGACGCTTTCCGGGTTACGATGAGGTTGCGTTTCGATAAAAGGAGCAAATATTGTAACACCTAACCTAACAAACAGCCTACCTAGCCTAGCCTACCTTAAACATGCTGCATGCCTAGAACACTTACATTAACCTACATTTGGGCAAAGTCATTAACACAAAGCCTATTTTATAATAAACTGCTGAATATCTCAAGTAATTGCCTGAATAATCATATCCATCTTAAAGTTGAAATATCATAACACGGGCCATCGTAACCCAGGGGGCACCTGTACTATAAAATCTGATGCAATTGATATGCTCTCCTCTTGTCCTCCAGGTGGGCTTGGTATTGCAGTGACACCCCCCCCCTCCCCCCACCTCGATCATGCAAGACTGCCTAGTCAAGAAGACAGCACTGATGCCCCTCAAGACTGATGGATTGATGGACTTCCTGCTTCAGGAACGAGAATTACCGCCAACTTTTTTTTTTTCCTATTTTTTTTTTTTATTACCCAGGCTGCACTGCTGCTGTTGGGCTGGGGAAGGGGGTAGCGGGGGGGGGGGGTTGCTTAGTACCGGCCCTCCCCCCCCCTTTTCCCCATCATTCCCCTGCATGGAACTGAAGCCATCGTTTTTCACTTTTCCATCCCCAACAATCAGAGAACCAAGTGCATAACACCTGTACATCATGTGGTCTCACACTCTTCATACACTGTTGGACTGCTTGTCTCACACTCATTCACAACACTGTCTTTTTTTTTTTTGCTTTCTCCCTCCTTTCTTCCATGGGAGGAGGAGCTTTTGTTGTTGTCTTCAGATCGAGCTTGAGAGGAAATTTAAAATCTGAACAATCAAACGAAAGAGAAATAAAAAAAAAAATTTAAAAAATGAAATAAATATCCAGAATGGACAAAGGGAGATGGTTGCCGTTGATGTTTGTATATTTGTTTTTTATCCCCCAAGTATTTTTATCTTGTAAGCTGTGTTCTAACCACACCCCTTTCTTTCTCCTTGGTTGTCAGTCCAGAGCAGTTTAGAGAACTTAAGCTGACTGACCTTTGTTGCTTTTTGATGGTTGAAACGAAAGGGCCTTTTTGTTTTTAGAACATTTCATTGTTGTCACTGCTGTAGTAACTGCACTGTGTCTCTATGGCTCCTTCTATAACAGGAGTAGGCAATCTTATCCACAAAGGGCCGATGTCTATGCAGGATTTTGGGATAATCTTTAGGTCAGCCATTCAAACCCAGGTGTGTGGACTCTTCAGCCAATCAGCCCTCTAATTAGTAATCTAATTAGGGACTTGCAATGAATACCTGCAGACACGATCGACCTTTCTGGACCAGATTGGCCGTCCCTACTCTATAAAATGACCCAGCTTCTATGGTTTAACCTGCGGGGCGTGCAGCAAATCAAACTGGACCGTGGGGAGGGGTTGGGGCCGGAGTTAGGGTTGTGCGGCCACGTGAGTTGATGGGGCGTGTAAGTTTGAAGTTAGGGGGAGAGTCCGGCCCACTTTCATTTGTCTCGCTTGGGAGCAGAATGAAACTGAACCCTATTACCAAGCTGTTGGTGTCCTTTGTGCCCTCGTAGGAACATTAAGGTTTTCAAAAGGGGGGGTGGCCTGTTTTATGGAGAGAGAGATGAAAGTGCAGGGGTGTTTTGTGCAAAATAAACTAGAACTGCAAATTTTGGTTTTTGTCTACCCAACTCAACCGTACTATTATAATTAAAAATTGCTACTTCGATACCTCACCTGTGTGCATAGTAACAAATGCTTGTGGTGCTGGTTGACTTACTGGGTGTTTATATAAAGCCATACGGGGCACGTGTGGACAAATGGAATGAACTTCGGCACGTTTGTGTCTTGCGGTTGTCTTGGCGTTCCAGCAGGGATCGATTTCCGAGTGGGTGGCAGCCACTGGAATAAACATAGGCGGGGAACCCGATCAATTCTGGCATGGCAGTAATGACGGGGAACACAAATGGCCACACTGTCAGTGGGATGTGTTTTATACAAGTCATTGAAACTCTGCACTTATACCTTGGAAAGTAGCGCTGAAGTCCATTAAAAAAAACAGGTTGAAGCTAATTGCTACAAGGTGGCAATGTGATTATGGTCTCAAACTTGCAAGTGAGTATCCAGTTATAGGCTGGGCTGGGCTGTTTTATCCAAATGGGTAGAGCCATTCTATTTTAATTCAACAAATTGCCAAAAATAAAATGTTTGCCTCACCATTTTTGAAGAAATTTGTCATGAGCGTTACATCTAATTTCTAGAGCTCAGAAATAGTTTTTTTTTCCTTTTGGGATATAGTGCCTTTACCACAGGTAGCAAAAAAATAATAATAATTGAGTCTTATGAGGTGTCAATTTTTTATTTGCTGCTGTTACAGACCCTTGGTTCAGCTATAGCTTTTGCGGTACCTTTCCCTCCTTTTCACACCTCCTGTCCCACCACTTGGCCCTTTCCGTGGGGGGTTGCAAAAAAAATGTCGCTTCCCCCCCCCCTTTATCCCAAAATCCTATTCATGGTGACTTAATTTCATGGAGTTTTTTTTCTGTGACATTGTGCTGCCGAGTCATCTGTAAAATAAACAGTTTTGGTAAACCAGAGATGGTCCGGCTTCAGCTTATCAATGAGGATTTCCTGAAAGGCGCAGAATATTATGGTGCCGGTATGATAAAAAAAAATAATGAAATGGAAATTTTGGGTCTCTTTGCCAGTAGTGGGTGTGAACGGGTGTAATGTCGCCCATGAACTTGACTAGCGGTATGCCCAGAATTAATCTTATAAGACAAAGGAGAAATTCTCTGCAAAGTCCCCCAGAACACTTTAAACACTTTTAACTACACTTTAATTTCATTTCAGGTACACTTTAGACCAGTGTTTCCCAATCCGGTCCTTGGGGACCGCCCATCCGGGCCACATTTTTGCTCCCTCCCAAACAGTCTACATTTTTGCTTGGGGAGCAAAAACATGGACGGGCTGGTGGGTCCCCAAGGACCGTATTGGGAAACACTGCTTTAGGCTATGAAATAAACAGATTAAAGGAGAGTGAGATTAATGTGTGGTTTCAGTGATTTTTTTTTTTGTTAGTTCAGAGCCTCATAACTCTTACACCCCTTGGAATAACAGCACAATTTATTTTTGTATCAAAGGTAAGGGACTCAACATGTCAATGTTTTATATACATGTATAGTACACATATGTACTGTCACTCCAAGCCATATACTTTGAAAAAAGAAACTTTTACATGGTTTTCCAACAAGTTACAGCTCTTATGAAAACACTTTCTTTTTCCTACCTGCAATGAAAGGGATTTTTAAAAAATAACCATTTCTGGGCTCTGGAATGTAGGAGTAATTCACACACCAAATTTCATTAAAATCAAAAATGGAGACTCACATGCCATTGGTTGAATGACCCGGTACAAATAGATATAACTGTAAATGTGACTGAAAGCTTCAGCTAGAATAAAGAGAAGGGCATTTATTAGATATTTGTCATAAATTGCTTCTGATGTAGTTACATGAAACTTTGTAATAGCAGGACTACGTTGTTTGAATGGTTGGATTGAATTGTATAAAATATTAATATTTTTGCATGTGTTTGAGCAAAATCCATTCCAGCAGTGTGATTACTACCCATATTGTTCTCCGGGTGCATGTATTTTCTTGTAATCTGGAGAAATTACATATAGGAAACATCAGTCTGACAGTTCATTGGCTAATAACTTGACCAGGCAGTGTCTTCTAACTCATTCGGCCAATCAGACGCCACGATGGTTACTGCACCGTTATCTAGCCATGTCTAGTGGTCGCACAGGCACTGGGTCATTTAGAGCTTGTTCAGGACCTTCACCTGCTCCCAGTTCCTCTGGTCAGAGTTCATGCTAATGACAAACATCAGTCATAATATTTGTTGTTAACCAAACACTCTGAAGACATTAAGAGGATGCTACCACAACCAGATAGGAACAAGTCAGGTACAATGAGATAGTTCAGTGAGATTTGAACATTTCTGTAACACTCATAGACTAGAATTATATTTAAATTTGGATGAGGTTTGAATACTGAGCTTTTTTCCCCTTTTATCATAATCTTAATTATGGAAGAGTGACCTGTAGTCCTGAATATGACTGAATCTGTTTTTGCATTTATTTTTATGTATTTACATAGGAACTACATCTCTTCGATTTTTGATCCAAAAACCAAACTCTGTTGGCCTCTTTAAGCTACAACCTTCACCTAAGAATTGGTTTGCGAGTTTATAGTCAGATTTCAGTGGTTAAATATCATCTTAAGCTTAAATTCTGGTTCATAGTCTATCCTTTAACCAGAGTTGCCAGTTGTTGCTTGATTATTTAATAGTTCACAGCCCTTGTATAATCAAGTAATTTGGATAATGAATAATCACTCCTTGTAGCATAAGCCTGCTGACGGTAAATAACGTGGCCATTCTGCTTTATGCATTTGTGCTCCAGCAGAGGGCGCTGCCTCTCTATGTTACTCTAAGAAAACGCCCCTCTGAAAATGAACCTCCTTTGTAGTAAATGGACTCTGGAGAGTGAAACGTAACTTTGAAGCCAAGGTCTGCTATACCTTTTAACATTATAGAGAGAACATGAAATTGCATGTTTTCTGGATAGTGCCGTCATCTGGTTTTTGGCTGGTACTCATTCCAGTTGTCCAGGCTGCTTTTAGTGGCCTTTATGCGTGCAATCCTCGACACCAGGCACCTGTTATCCCTCTCCACTTCCATTAGTCGTTCTTCCTCCATCTGAAACCCCAACATGTAGTGCCTGTTGCAGACAAACTGGCTCTCCGCTAGAATGAATTCTAAAGCCCCTAGATCAGTGTTTAAACCAGGTACGTAACTGCAGAAACAAGCATGAACCAAGAAACGGCGTGGCTGTGTTTTCTTCATGTTGAGATGACAATGCATGTATTTCCTGGGAGGCTTGTTGTCCACAAGTGGTTTAACTGGACAGATGTAATAAAAAAAACAAAAAAAACGTGGAGACTAGTTGAAAGTTAAGTCAATTAAGGCATTATTTAGGCATTAACAGTAGTGTGACATTTAAAATCCATTTATGCTCTGCAGACCACACCACGCAAGCGTCGTACGCTCCCTGTAATTTAGAAGCGCGTGGGTGCTGCCCTATCGTTTTGCATTCGTACCGTATGGAATTTGTAGTGTTGGTTATACGACTGCAAGCTTTCTTGTTGTGTCGTACTGTCCGGGAGCCCCAACCATGGCCGGAAACACCAAACAGTCTGTTTGTGCATGTTTTATGGAACTTCTCAACGCTCCAAGTAAAATACAAAAAACAAGGAGAACCGGACCGTTGCCGTAGCGACGGTGTATAAAATATGTCAGTTTTTTGATGCGCCGGAACATCATACGCGTATTAACGCGCCCATATCGTAACATAGACTTTGCCTCTATATCATCATTGGAATATGCACAATTGAGACGCTGTTAACGCAAAAGTCCCTCATTGCGCTGAATATACAATTAAGCTGTTCACAAAACAAGGGCGGTATTGTATCTTATACCCAGGGACGGATTAATGTCAGCCAGTGTGCATGTCTGTGCCGTGCGATGGACCCCCGTCTTTCTTTTGCCCTGTTCTGCCTGGGATTAGCGATGGATGGATGCAGCACGCAGAAATGAATGATCCCCAGTACCATTATAAACCTAAATCTAGCTCCATCAAAGGCGTCGGGGAAGGGGGGGGGAGTTTGCAACCCCTACAGATTATTTACAAGGTAATAAAACTGTTTCATACATGTAAATGCGTATGTATGTGTGCACATATTTGTCTCGAATTGCAAATCTATCATGCAGTTTGGCCTATGCAGTTGTCCAAATTTGGCAGCTCTGGTGTATACTAGATAACTAAAGCTCAGTGTATAGTTTAGTTAAATAGAGTAGAAGAAAAGCCCTCAAAGAGGAAACTTCTAAAATTACTGACTTGTTCAGCAAGGTATCAGGTAACGTTAATAAGCGTGCAGCTGGTCACGGATGCATGCAGCTAGCATGGCCAGAGGCGCGGCTTTAGGACGATTAGTCCGGTTCTTCAGCCTGATATTCTCCATCCCGTGTTTGCTTGTTTGTACTCCTTTTCACCATTAATGTAATTTATAAAGGATAATATACGGCTACTTACCTAATATTTAACCTGGTACCCGGATAACCGGTCCGTTATCAAGTTTAGCGGGAGTATAAAAAGTCCTGTTATTAACTATATATAGTCAAACAAATGATGTTGCTTTTCATTGCGCCTTTGCCGATGGAAGTGGAAATAAGCAGAAATGGAAAGGGTTCGAATATAAAATCAAATCAACGATTTTGCGAGTGTTAATTTACTTTATCTATCATATCTTTATGATGAAATTTCCCTTAAATTAATCTCAGCTTTGTAACGTTTTTTTCATTGTGCATCAGTCGGAGTGTCCAGCAGCTTACTGATCCTCCTCAGAATGTACAGTCTACTCTGGCCTTTCTTGTGTGGCGACACTGCATTACCTACCCAGTCGGATGGATGGATGGCTATTTCTCTTTTATGCACGTGTAAATGAATGTAAGATTGTGCAGTTGCACATAGTTGTTGACTTTATGGTAGTGATTTTTTTTTCGCTACTTGCTTGGCAAGATCTTTTGACAAACAGTACACTAAATTTAATTTTATTTCTTCCTAGGGCACTGCCTTCTGAGAAGTATTATGAGGTGTATTATTAGCATGTAGGGGGCGTTGTTGCTCTGTTAGACCAGTCCTGGTGATTATGTGCATCAAAGAGGAGCAAATAGAGGACAGAAGTCGAGCCAGATTTTTTTATCCATACGTTTATGGCTGCCCATGCCATTACACTTAAATAAGCAAAACAGCCAGCGCCACAGTGAAAATGGAAGGGGTTTTATTCAAAATAGCCACATTAGTCCGTACATTACGGCAAATGTGTTACGTAAGTGATTCATTGACTGGTCTGGAGGAAGCCTGTAGCGTGAGGTGTTAGGGTACTGAGAGATGCTGAAGGATGTGCATCTGGAATAAAATAGGCTGTTTAAATCGTATTTAGATTTCGGATCTTTCAGCACCGTTTTTCTGAAATACCCTCCACGGTTGTCTTACCACTTTTATGAAAGAAAAAGCAGTCTATAAAAATATTTTGAAATCTAATCGGCATTAGCACCATTTGTTAGTTATGTAAAACTGATTAATAATTGCGAACGAATATTTTATTCATGATGATGCTTTGACATTTTACCGATTCTGGCCTTTTTTATTACGAGGATTGTAGTGACTGTTTTTAACTTTATGCATTGCAAACATCACGTCTGAAAAAAACGAATACCCAAGGAGGTTTTTCTTTCCCATTTGCATGCTTTTTCCTAAACACCGCTTTGTCTGGCGCATCATCTATGAGTGGAATTTCTGGAGAACTACAAAATCAGGAGCACGAACCTATGACGCAAGAGGTGACGTATTATTTGTGCGCCGCTGTTAAATAGAAGTAAGGTATTTTTTTAATCGTTCGGACATCTGCGTTTAATTTCTTAAATGCAATGGATGCTCGTGGTGTTTTTTTAATTCACGATCGGCGAACTGGTTGGTTTTAAGTTAAAAGGTCCCGGGACTCGAAAAGGTTGAGTGTTTTCTTGTGTTATAACGCTATTCGCTAACTGGTTAGCAGGAGCATCTTGGAGCTATCATCTGTGTTATGAGCGGTCCCTTGTCTTGCGTGGCCGTAATCGCGGAACCTCTGCGCTGCATTTTATTAACCGATAGGGTCCCTCGGTGCGGATCATTGACATATTGTCACTGGCAGTCACGTCTGATGGTTTTGATGCTGAAAAAGTTCCCACGGCCCAACCACGCAGCTAGCATGTTAGTCAGCTAACTATAAACATTAACCGGTTTTTCTCAGTACATTTTTTTGTGCACTCCACATCTTTGTTATATTTAATCTTGTCGCTCGTCTCCATTGAGTATAGCATCACAAATTTCCATTTGAGTTATTTCCAGTGTGTTCTGTATCTGTACAGGTTTTTAGCGAGCAAGTCGGCAGAACACAGCTTCTTACAGTTGTAAGTTTTTGTACAGATATACATGTTTTATGGAATTTAGACAAGTGTAATCGGCGTTATCTTACACTCCCTTAATGCATGGATATAGTTAGCTGACTAACAGGATCTTGTTCCCAACAGTTTCCTTAAGAGGTCTCTGTTTTACTGTTTTTCTCTGACCCTTCTGTTAGTAAAGCTGCGAGCTGCAGGGAAGAGACACCAGGGGGAACAATGGCAGCGGGAGGCTTAGGTGACTATGAAGTAGACCTCCACCTGTCGGTCGGCTTTCTCAGAGAGCAGCTGGGCGGGACCATCGAGGAGGCGGTCCGGACAGCAGTCGAAACGGTTCTGTGCGAGACGGTCCGGCTCCTGGGCCAGCGGCTGGGGTTCCTCCACGGGGCCCGGGCCCAGGACAGTAGTGGGACTCAGAGCCTGAAGCTGCGACTTGAGGCGACAGGTGGAGAATGGAAGGTGGGGGGTGGTGGCGACCAGGGGGCCGCCGAGATGGACTTCGGGGTTGTGGGAAAGACCGCAAGGAGCATGAATCGGGCGAACTTCGGGACTCAGAAACCTCACCTCCACGGAGGGGACCCAGACCCCCCCCACGACGAACAGGCTGACTTTGGAGTGTTTTCCGACCCCTTTGACATGGATTCAACTGGAGCCCGGGTGGAGGACTTTGAGGAGGGACAGGACATGGGGCTTCCGGAAGATTGGGAGCTGATGAACAAAGTGTACAAGGTGGAACACAGTGAGGGCCTATCCTTCATCGACGAGGGCGGGACTGCGCACTGTAAGCATCCCCTGCGAGAAACAGTGACATTACTTTTTTATTAACTATTGTTTCTGTGCCCTTATTGTCTGATGCTGTTGCCTAATGTTTCCCAATCCGGTCCTCAGGGACCCACGGTTAGTCCATGCTCTTGCTTCCTCCAAGCTCCTTGCCAGACAGTCCACATTTTTGCTCCCTGTAGGGAGTTTGGAGGGTGCAAAAACATGGACTGTCTGTGGTTCCACGAGGACTGGATTGGGATACACTGCTTTAAAGCATGTCTCTGTGCAAAGTAGATACGGCAGTGCATTAGAAACTTTGAAACTTCTTAACATTAATACGTTATCGTGAAAAGATGGTGTTATATCGAATGACTTCTGTCTGACATTGAAACAGGCAGATGTCGGAGGACATTTTTAGTTTTCAGGGTGAGTTTTGTTCTCGGTGGCTGTGAGCTATCTGAAGGGATCCCCTCTTGCCCCCAGACGCCGAGGACTACCTGATGCATGACCGCGACCTCAGGATCATCACAGTGCCGCAGGAGGAGGAGCTGCCCCAGCCAGACACACCTGCTGTCCAGGACAGCTTGACAAAGTTCAGCCCGGCAGACATCAAGAAAGAAGCGCCTGAGGCACAGAGTTCTTCCACTGTGACTGAGACTCCAGCGCTGCCCCCTGCTGGCGAGGTGGGTGGTGTGCGGATCTACTAAATATGGGTCACTGGATCTTACTGTGATGACACCGCTCTTACTTCGATGCCTTCCACCTGGCTATGCCATTTCCAGCTTCCTGTTTCCCAGGCCGTGGAAAGCAGTGTGCCAGGGAGGTCAGTCACATGATCAGAATGTGACTCAAATTCCAGGAACGACACTGATGTTGTACATTGGAGGACGGCGCTTAAAATAAATGTTTGATTAATTGTTTTTCTGCGTGAATTGGTGATATTGTAAGGTAGCAGGTTATCTTGAATAAAGACCTTTGCTAAGAGACCACCTCTTCAAACTTCCATCTGCCTACCTTCACAAAACTTGAAAATAGCCTGGGTTGTTCCTTGCCTTACATGTGTAGTTTCCAGGATAGGCTCCAGACCCCCACGACCGTGCACAGGACAAGCAGGAACAGTGAGTGAGTGAGTGAAAGAATGAATGAGTGAATGATAAATCCTTTATTTGCCATTTGCACAATGTACAGCTGCATTGGAATTATTCTTTTTGCTGACCCCATATCGCTCTCCATAGCTTGGGGGTCACAGCGCAGGTCAGCCAATGGGCAGCCCCCCATGGCGCTGGGGGTTAAGGGCCTTGCTCAAGGGCCCACAGACGAGTGACTGTTATGCTGAGGCCGGGACTTGAACCGGCGACCTTCTGATCATGGGCACAGTGGCTTTAACAGCTACCGTTAACGCAATGCTCATTTGTCTGCACATTATAAATGCACTGATGAACAGAGAATATGGAAATGATGAGATCTGAATCATGATGGCCTCATATTTGAATCATCTCATCCACATATACCGAGTAACGCCCCGCGTTTGGGCGTCTGTGGGGTTTCCTCCGAGTCTAAGCCACTCCAAGCCCATGCTATCCTCTCTTCCAGCCCCAGAGTGAGGGTCACGGTGCTGGCGAGCCCCCTGTGGAGTTTGGCCCACAGAACTACCTGGAACAACTCCGTCTCTGGCTAGAGCGACTCTGCCCGGAGGTGATGCGGGAGTATGAGCGTGACGGCTGCCTCTGCGAGCTCTCGCGCCGAAAGCTCATCAAGTTCGCCGTGTCCTTCATCATGGACGAGTTCGGATTGTACGGCTCTCCTCCCGCTCCGCTCCACATAGCAACAAAGAGAGAAACAAGGCTTCAAAACCCTAGCGATGGCCGAATGGAGTTTCATGAACCATTTGCTGTATTTTCTGACACCAGTAGATGGTGCTCTCTATTTAAAAAAGCATTCAATGCATGCCCCAGAGCAAACCAATAGCACCATCTAGTGGTGTCAAAAAATATAGACAATGGTTCATGAAGCTTTATTTGGCCATCACTACAAAATCCTTTTATGAGATGGACATAAACCGTATGTGCTGTTCAATAAAAGCCCAGTTAAATCCCACAGGAGCAAAAAAAAAATCACCAATGAGAAATCTGTTAAACTTGATTGACAGCACCCGATAGTCCCTCACAATGTGGGTTTTCAAGCCTTTTTCTGATATCACTGCTGTTCCTTGTTTGTCTCGTGGTTTTTTTCTGGCTACCACTGCTTCTGTATATTTTTATAGGAGAAAAACACCTGCATGATGCAAAAACTGATATATAAAACTAGGCATTGACTGCAGCCCTTTGCTCCGTCCCTATAGTTACCCCACCTCAGCTCAGAAGACCATGCTGGCGGAGCACATTGTGGAGCTGTTCCCCAGCCTCCGGCTGTGTGTGCCCTATGCTGGGATCAATGGCGTTGTGAGTTAGGCCCTCCCAGAACCACTCACCAGTTAATCAGCCCCACCTCCCACTGCCTTCAGAACCAGCCAATTACATCTCGTGTTTTCTGTATTCTTTGTGCATGCAGACAAATGAGCTTTGAGTTAACAGTAGCTGTCAAGGAATTTCATTGAGAAATTGAGTAGCTGAGCCTGCTGAAAGCTGGCGTTTCCTGTTGAATCCGGATCCGGAATCAGACTTTTTAAGTATTTATAAAAGCAGACTACTTAAATTTCACAGTTTTGAAATTTTGCTAATACTCTTAAAACATCTTAAAGACACAGATGGACAGTTAGATACTATGTTAATGGCAAAGGAAACTGTAGGTTTACAAAAGCATGACACAAATACATGTAGACAGTAAAATACATGTAGACGGCAATAAATACATTGACTAGCAATAAAATAATAGATAAGTATAAAGTATAACAATGCAAAGAATTTCAGGGGAAGTACAGTATAGAATTTTGTAGTAATAGCTCAGAATATCAATTGACGTAAATATTTGTAGCTGGAGAGATTTACACTTTAGTAAAGAGATTTAGATCTTGCTAAAAAAAACTGAGTAAGATCTGAGCACCTTCACCCCCCTGGCTGACAGAGCAGGATACAGCTTGTCACTGCTATTATTGTGCCCCCTTGTGTTGGGATGAAACACAGGAGCATCTGTATGACCCGGTGTCACGGACTGGGTACATCGAGACGCGGCTGCGAAATTTCCGGCGGACGCTCGAGGCTGACAAGAAGAAGTACGTTCTGAAGCGCCGGCGAGCCGAGCTGGGCCTGGTGAGCCAGACTCCGGTGCCGAAGGGGGCACAGGGTGGCGAGGAAACCCGCAAGTGGGTGGCGCTGCTGAAACGGACGAGCCCGCTGACCAAGAACCTGCCCACAATCCGTGCCGCCATGGAGTGCACCTTCGCTGCCCGCAGGAAGTGGATGAGCAGCGAGCGGCCCAGCATGGGCGCCGTTTTGGCCGAGTATCCCCGGTTCCTGGACGTCCCCTCTATGGTAGGTCCCATTGCCATGGAAATGGCCGAGTGCTGAAAACCGGTCTGCCAGTGAGGTGTCTAGTCATGGTCCAAATGCTCATTAATCTGTTGCACGTCCGCGTCCAGATTGACTTGGAATTTGAGAAGATGTTCCCAGGAAAGGGAGATGCCTTCCTGTCCAAGTGGTCGTCACATGTGGTGCCCAGGGTGCGGCAGATCGCCGAGCGTGAGGGTCCCCCGGAAGTCGCCGAGCTGTTGCAGCAGGCCAGCTCACAGCCAGAAGGTCAGCAGGAATGCATGAATCACTTTAGGACAGAGTTCCCCAATTCCGGTCCTGGAGGGCCGGTCTGTAATACAGTTTACACACCTACTAAACCTGGTGATTAGCTGGTGAGCTGAATACGGTGTTTCGGAAGGGAAATCTTTAAATTCCTCGGTAGACTGATCTTCCAGGACCGGAATTGGGGAACCCTGTTTTAAAATCTCTACATCAGTATTTTTCCACCTGGTCCTTGGGGATGCTCCAGACTGTCCACATTTTTGCTCCCTCAAAATGTCTCAAAATGTGGACTGAACGGGAGGTGAGGGGGAGCAAAAACGTGGACTGGCTGGGGGTCCCCAAGGACTGGATGGAGAACCACTGCTCTGCATAAGCAAGATGGTTGTCTCTTTCTAGAACTTTCTTTTCATAATTTCTAAAGTCCCTTCCCATTTCATGCCTCCCATTATCTAATTATAAAACTCCATTGATTGGGGTAAGAATATATTTCATAATGACACTGGGGGGAAGTTCCATTTTATTATTGCATTGAATAGCATGTGATTTCCCTGGGAATCTCCAGTCCGTTAATCAAGTCCAGTCTGAAATGAAGCCTGAAAGACCGGTTTTAGAAAATGGTCTTCAGCAAATGGTGGAGATTGTATTATTGTGAAGTGCCTTTATTGCTCACTGCAGCACTGGTCACTCCAGGCCTGGAGCTCTGAGCAGTTCATCTCGGCTTACAATTGCTCCATCGGAGTCATTATTTAGCTGTTACGCTGCCTGACCCAGTGAATCGACTACGGGTCGAAAGGCAGCTTTGAAGATCTGGGTAGCTGGGATAGCTGCTCGTGGACATAACATTCAGATCCTGGTCACCCCATTTCTGCAGATTCCTGTACCCTCACCATGCTGAAAGTGCTGGTGCTTCTCCTACCCCCATCTGGCACCGGCAGAGCCTCTCAGGCCACGAAGTCTGCCAGCAGGCATACAATTCACTACCTGGTGGACCTCGTCCCTGTAAGTATGCGTGGTTGGGTTCTGCCTTAAGAAACCTGAGCGCCTTTATAAGCCAGTCCATGTTCATGACGGCTTGAACTCTTCTTATAGAGTATGATGTTTAAATACAAGAGTACTACAAGTTTGCCATAATTGTATTCCCCAATGGTTTTGGGACTGGTCCTCCACCATCGAAACTTACTTCATTAGTGTGATAACTCAAGAAGTATTTCATGGATCTTTTTCAGACTTTCCAGACTTATTGTAAGGGCAAAGATATGAAATTTTGAGCCAAATCGCACCAAAAATGAAGCAGTACCCGTGTAGTGATGTCAGATAAAAGGATGGCCAGAGATGCTGATTACATTGAGACAAGTCACACAATGTTGGGAAAGTGTTTAGGAGGGCTATACATTGTACAGGTTGGGGGGTGTGGGAGGAGCAGGGATTAGATGGAGGGGTGATGGGGCCATGTACAGAATACATCGTTGTAGTTCTGACAGCATCTAGTTAATAAGAGGGACCACAAATTTTGCGCAGTGTAGGGCCCTATCGAAAAATCATTGTTTGAGCTTCACAGTGGGTGGGATTAATATGTGCTGTCAGTTGCAGCATTTTCTAACCAATTGGGAAGCAGGTTACTCCTTTTGAGGTTCTATTTCTTCTGTGGCAGTTTTATGCTACTTGTCTCAGTTCGCTTCTTGTCCTTCTCTGCCAGATGGACACCAAAGTGTCTACGCTATTCCGTGACCCAACTGCAGAGGCGACTGGCAGCCCGGCGAGGCCCTACATCCTCAGTGTTGGCCCCCTCGATGCCCCTGGCCGTCAGCTCTACATCTTGGCGCCCGCTGAGCGGGTCGCTCTGACCCTGCCTGAGGGCAGCCTAAGCAGCGCCGTGGACAAGCTCTTCAAGTTCCTGAAGATCTTCAACCTGGACTACCCCATACAGCTCTCCTCCCTCTACAGCTTCTTGGAGCATCTATATGGCATAGAGAAGCCCCACAGCACCCCCAGTGGCAAGAGGTCTAAGGTGCTAGAACTGGTGTCGGGACTCCGCATGCTTTCCTGACACAACGGCAGTCATGTGACATCTGACCATTGGGACTTACCCTTTTTTTTGCCTTGACCTGTATGACTTACAAGTACTGGTGCTTACCTAAATATGGACATGGGGAGTCCCAGTGCTCAGGGATAACACAGTGTGCTGGTTTTTTAACAACAACTGGGCTTCTTGGACGGATCACGCAGGTGAACACCTACCAGTGAGCATCGGTCGCTCTTGGTTGTAAAGAAAATGAACCAAAATGACTAAAAGGGTAAATGAAGCTAAAAACGAAACCCGTAACATTACCCACAAACTAGACTGCATATTTTGGGCAATCAATTTAATATTATATGTTTGTGTTTCTGTATGTCTGATATTTAGGTTTTATGCCTAAATGCAGTCATGCACAGTTTGCAGTCTGTTGAATATTACTTCTAGATTGTAGCCCAACAGAACTGAACTACTTTCGTAAATTTACTAAGTGGACTCGTCAATGGTTTACGTTTTCTTCTGCATTTGGAGCTGGTGTGTGACTTGTACTTTGTGCAGACTCTCAAAGCTCCCTCGTCCTGCATGGATGGAGGGGGTTTACAGTATCTGAGGCAGTATCAGGTATAGTTCTTCTGCCTGTGAGAATAATGTTGTTTTTCCAATGTTGTCCTGTAGCTAGACCTAGATTTTTGCTTTGCCATTTCTGCTCTTTTTCTATGACAAATTGCGGCCAGTCGTCACTGCAGGATTTGCCGAAGCCTGAGAACCGCTTTCCCTTGGTATTTGGAATTCTGTGCCATACGGGATGTGAGACGCTCGTGGGAAGATTATTTGGCCACATTTAAAATTTCCTTCTGTGGTGGCGGTCGTCCATAAATATTGTATAAACCAAAATAATGTGGTACAGGGTTCCTGCGCAGAATGGAAAAGTATGCAAATTGAAAAGCCCAGGGTGGCATCTTCGGGGGGGGGGGGGGCGTCCACTTGGCAAACCGCCGATTCCAGCTCCCTTCCCCACAACTCTTACCGTCACCACCCCTTGGCATGGTCTGGAAAACTACGGAATTATTTTAAAATGGGAAGCGAGTGGGAACCCTAAGAGCAAAATCAAAAGTCAAAAATAATGTTCTTTTCTGTTCCTCGGAGGAGATGTGTCCAGCGGGACCCCAGTCCTTCATCAGAATGAGAAGTGTTTCGCAATTAGCAGTCCTTAATTTTTCTCTACCTATTTAGCTAGTTGTGCTTTATGGTTTGTGACATGAAAATTCGATGCGTTTCAGTTCCGGTTACGCCCTTGAGGGGGGTACCTTGAATTTGGTTAACACTCCTATATCTGCCTGGCATTTGTGCATTTTCTTGTTTTACGATTGACTCTATTATATCATGGCATTTGGATGCAACACGTAGCTATAGCGACGCGCCCATGTATCTACCCTAGACCTTGTGAATGCTCCCCCCTCCCTTTGTAATATCAGTGACCCAGTCAGAGTTTTTGAGCGCAATGGGAAAACAAATAAATCCAGTTTGTTTTGGCCTCGTTCGGCCTCGTTCTTGCTTGGCATAATAGTTCCCGTTATTTTACAGAGACGCACATGTCCAAGGACACGTATGACATCAGCAAACTTCCCCACCTGTCTTGCAACTGACGTTCTTTCTCAGTTTTTACAACAGGTAAGTTTCATATCTCTGATTGGATTTGGTTATAAATTAACTATTATTCTGGCTTAATGTGGGATAGGTGGATCAGTGATGGTATGGCTGTAATATCATGGCATTCCCTAAGCCCACTACTTGATCTGGATGGAGGCATCACTGTCAAGGACCACCGAACCATTCTGGAGGACCATGTTCAGTCAGTCGTTCAAACATTGTACCCTGAAGGTGGTGCCGTGTATCAGGCTGATAATGCACCAATTTTCACAGCAATATTGGTGACACAGTGGTTTGATGAACATGAAAGTGAAGTTGAATATCTCCCATGGTCTGTACAGTTACCAGATCTGAGTATTATTGAGCCACTTTGGGGTTCAAAATCCTTCTGGACACTGCAGGATTTGTATCTGTCATTCCCAAGACCAACTGATGCTGTACAGTATTGGCCGCAAAAGGAGGACCTACACCTTACTTAGAAATTATTGTATTCTAAAACGTTTCAGTGTCATTGTCTAACCTCTGTATATATAAAATCAATGGGCAAAACGGACATTCTAACAAGATTAAACATATTCATTAAGAGATTTTTTTTTACCAGTTTCTGTTGCTTATTTTCTTATCCATGCGAATGTTTCTGAGTTAAATTTTTCATAATCGAATGACTGGATCATTGCCATTCTGATATGACAGTTACGATATTTATTATTGTTCTTTGTGCACTATAAAAGCATCCAGCGATCCAACAGGCACAGTAAAGTTTTTCGAAGTGGTGCAGGTTTTCCGTGTTAAGTTCGTTTGGCCACTTGGATCAGCAAGCAAACTGCGTCCACTGCAACAATTGGATTCTTGGTTCTTTTTCGGGCGGTTGGAACTGAGTATGAGAAACGTGTCTGATTTGCATGAAGCGCATAATTAATAAATGCCAATGTCAAACGAGTAAATTGTTCCCAAGTCTGTCTCGGTGTAAGAAGATGTACACCGGTTACCGGTATCGGTAAACATGCATAAATTGCGCTTTTAGCTTAATGAAGACGACTGAAGGACTCGGGGTGGTATTGTATGGCCTAACACAGCAGGTCTGAATCGATCGTGAGTTATCTGTATTTTTATGCCTTATAAATGTTATATAACTAAAAGTGTAAGATCAATTTATCTACAGCCACCGCTGTTTAGACTTACAATATGAGAGGTTGTTTCAGGTCCATTACTGTCAGCACAGCATACCAAACCTGTGAAAAAAACATCTTATGATGATTTAAAAACGATCTTTTCTTGCGACAAGTATATTTGCAAACTGGAAGTTAACTGTACTGACATGTTAAGTGTTTGTCATATAAAGCAGATCTAGTAAAAAGAGTACGCCGTGTCTTTTTACATCGTGTCCATGCTCTTAAGTGCAGTATAATTCGCGTGCAATATAGTATTTAATTTTGGAAATCGAACTTTTAAGTTTATTTCAAGTTGCATTTTAAGTTACTGTTTATGTATACCAATGTTATGCATGATTGTTGGATAATCTGTTTACAGTTCTGATCTATCTCCTCCATATAACTTGGGAAGTATGGAAGACCAGTTGGCCAAGAGCAGCGCGGATTATGAAATTCTGGTGGAAATTGGAGAAGGGGCCTACGGTAAAGTGTACAAAGCCAGGGCGATAAGGGAGCCGCAGCGCCTCGTAGCGGTGAAGAAGCTGAACATCCCTGTAGACTCTGAAAGCGGGATTCCTGCTTTCATGATCAGAGAGGTGGCGCTGTTGAAAAAGATCGAGTTTTTCAACCACCCTAATATCGTAAAGTAAGTAATAAAAAAAATGGAATACGAGGTCATATTATTTTAAGGTATCAATATATTTCTACTATTGATTGGTGGTGTGATCTAAACAACCAAAGATCCGAAGACTTTTAAATGATTTTGCCGAGCAAATGTCAGCACCAGTAGTGAAAAATGAACCGGAGCTTGTATGCTGCCATGAATGTCTTGTTTCTGGAGAACTGAACCACTTGTTGACCTCTCAACACAGATAATGCGAGGAAGAATCTAAAGTAATTTGAGAGTTATAAATAGATTAATGGTAGAGCAATTAGAAGGCAATTAAAAACTCGTCAACCCCAAATTGATGCCTCTGTTTTGTTGAGATTTGTGGATTACGGCTGTATCATCAAACAATAGTTTTTTCAGAAGCGGTTTTTATAAGAGCAGATTGTCATTTCTGTAACAGTCAGGACTAGATATTGAGATTACTTTTATGAATTACACCTAAATTTGCCTATTACACTATTTCTCCATAAAAAAGTTTTTTTTTTCTTCCCGGAGGTTTCTTCGGAAGTTGTATTACTCTCATAAAATATTTGTATGAACTGTGGAATTCATAAGTGCAGCAGCTCAATACTGAACTGTAGGTGATTGATGTTACAGGTTATTAAATGTATCAGCTACCTGGAAAAAAACCTTGGATTTGACTTTGGTGTTTGAGTACGTTGATCAGGACTTGTCGACCTTCCTAGCTAAAGCCCCACAGACAGGCTTAAGCAGGGAGATGATTAAGGTGAGCCTTAACTTCTTAATCTGTTTCTTAAATCAATGTGGGTTATAAATTTTCAATTATATATGTTAATTATAGCAAAAAAAAATTATTCAGCCTTCAACTGAGAAGTGAGGCTTTATGAAAGAGTTTGCGTCACTCAGTGAAAGGCCAACAAGTACTTTTCTTGAATCATGATTGGGGTGAACCTAGCCAGCTGGTTCCTCTTGTCCTGGCGCACCGGCACACACCAGAACATGGTAGGCCTTGGAGAGCAGAGGTGATGGTGCGGTTCCGCTCCCCCACTTATGTTTGTTCGCACAGAACCTGATGGTCCAGCTTCTGCAGGGGCTGGACTTCCTGCACGTCAACATGCTGGTGCACCGTGACCTGAAGCCGGCCAACGTGCTCATCAGCGGCCAAGGTCGGGTGAAGATAGCGGACTTTGGGTTGGCGCGCATCTACACCAGCCGCATTGCTCTGACACCGTGTGTGAGTCTGGCAGTGCCCGTCGCAATTTGGCCTGCAGTTCCATCTGTCTGGTACTTCTCTTTGTAATGTGGGCATGTCACCTTATGAGGGACCGGAATCCCAGCCAGAGTGTCCCCTAACTTGAACCATGTTTTTTTCTGGGATAAGCTCTAGGATAGCTGGGTTTCTGGCAATGAATAAGTGGCTATGGATGGATATGTCTTTATGACATAGTCGTAAACTTGGCCCCTAAACTGTGGAATGATTTACCCCCAAATGCTAGGATGGCCTCTTCACTACCTGCTTTTAAATCTCATCTTAAAACGCACCTTTATTCCCTGGCTTTTAATTCACTGTCAGAGTTCTTCATCCCTTCTTAACTTATTATTTAAAAAAAGTAAAAATATTTTAAAATTGTCTTTAATTGTTTTTTCATTTGTTTCATTTATCGTCATTTAAATTCTTACTTTAATTTAGTTCTGTCTCATTGTGTGATTTGGTATACAGTTTGAACCGCACTTTGGGTTCAACTCCTGTTGTTTTAAAAGTGCTCTATAAACTGGAGAGATACGATAATTACATCATATTTACATGTATTACACGTGTTTGGAAGCTGCTGAATACATTGGTTACAGTAAAACGCAGTCTGCTTGCCCCCAGGTCGTGACGCTGTGGTACAGAGCCCCTGAGGTCTTGCTCCACTCCAGCTACACGTCCTCCGTAGACATGTGGAGCGCAGGGTGCATTTTTGCGGAGTTCTTCCTCCTGAGGTAAGCAAACCTGATCCCCGGTGCATCTGTAGCTTTTTGGAGCAAGAGCCGAAGTAAAGCCAGCAGGCCACGATATGTTGGTGCAGTGCTCACCAAGGACTTCCCGTTCACATAGCATCTTATGACCTGGGATGCTTTGACGCATGCCGTGATATCTAAAGGAAATACAGACGTTGTTCTTTTTTAAACTTATTAACGATGAATGAATGGAGTACCTAGCCTATGGCCTCATCATATTCCTACTTGTGTCTGACAGGCCATTGTTTTGTTGCCTTTCTGAGGTACAGCAGCTGCAGAAAATTATCGAGTAAGTCCTTTATTTATTTGTTTGTTTATATATATATGTGTGTGTGTGTGTGTGTGACAGTGAGAGAGAGACAAGTTCAAATCCCTGGGTCGGCAGAGTGATCCCACCAGTGTTGAACACCAGTGTTGTCTACGTGTGTATACTGGTATGTTGGGTATGTTGTCCTGCGGGGCAGCCTCAGCCACATGTCAGTCTGTCTGCTGTAGCTGACCTGCCTTTCCCTCAGAGTCATCGGTCTTCCGCCAGAGGAAGACTGGCCAGCAGAGAGCGCCGTTGCCTATTCTCCAAACTGGGCAGGTGATCGAACATTAAGCCAGATGCTGCCAAACCTGGACCTGGAGGAGAATGAGCTGCTGTTGGTAAGTGTGGGACCAGGCCAGTTGTACCTGCTATTACGATTCGCTGTACGAGGTTCTGGCCGGCACATCGGGCATTGTTTCGTGCCTCACACCTTCGGCGTTCCAGGTCTGATTGCCGCCCCCGCTCTGCATGTGCAGGGCTTGGCCCGCGCTCATCCCATGCTCTGTCAGTGCGCTCACACAGTCCAGAGACATGCACTTAGGTCATTTGGCATTTCTGAATTGCTCGTAGAATGTGTGTCCTGTGATGGACTGCGCTGTCAGAAAAAAAAGAGTACAAATTTGTGCCTTTGTTTGATACTGGATCTGTAGCCTCAAGGGTCTGCCAGTTGTACCCTTAGGTGTAGGTAAATGGGGCATCCTCTCCAGAGTGTACCCCAGCCTTATGCCCTATGCTGCCCTGGACGGACTTGAGGCTGCAAGACGACCCTATACTTGCATCGTGGTTGGAAGATGTATGGAGGGATGTTAATCTTCTTTGTCCTTCAATATTTGGATATCTAATTCAGAAATATTCTATAAGAATTCTATCAATGCATCACAGACTGCTCTATATTTAGCACTAACCATTATCGCCGTAATTTTAAGCTGGGGGGTCCTGTTTTGGTGTGCCTACAGAAACTCCTGACCTTCAACCCCCTGAAACGGATCCCAGCTTCCAAAGCCCTGGAACATCCCTTCTTTAAGGGCCCGTAGCAGCAGGACCAGGGAGATGGCCCTGGAGTTGGGGTTTGGGAGCATCGACTCTCTCATAGTCAGTCCTCTACTTGGGACTGTAGATCACCGGAAATGAGCAAACTGATGGGATTTATGTTACAGAAGGAGAACATCATTGGTGTGCTTGATTAAGTCACACACAATAGTAATGTTTCTGAACGAGGGGCTGTTGTTACTTGTCATTGTCACTGCGGTGACCAGTCAGCCACCGGCACCAGGAATCAGCCATGAAGTCTTCAGTTGCCCAGTTATTTTACTTAATTCTAGTGTTGACTGTCGTTTAGATGTTTTATGGGGTTGGATCTTTGGATGTGTTCCATTTCCCTGAAGGCCCTTCTAGGTCCATGCCATTTTTAGGCTCCTGGCTCAGAGATAATATATCACTGGTGTAAACACTTTTTCCTGTGCTGGGCTTTAAGAGACAGAGCTGTTATATGGGCAGGAGATGTACTGGGGGTTGGCAGTGTGGCTGAACTCTCAGATGGTCTTATCCGCTGTTAGTGGCGAGGGGGAGGGGGAACATTCTAAGGGGAATTTAAGCATGCATTACTTACATAATGCAGATAAAATTAATTTCATCACAGTTACCGGTGTTTTGGGGTCACAGGTGTCAAGGTCAAGATAGAGAGGCATGAAAAACCATTGACATCCAGGCTTTTCTGTGTCAAGTAGTTGTTACTCTGAGGTTGATGATTCATCCCCTGACTCCTGGGGCCACATAATCTTTGTGTGAGACAAGGATTTAGGTAAGGAGCGTATTTATTTATTCATCAGAGAACTATACCAGTGATAGTTAGAAATTTCTCCGCATCCACCAAAAGGTTATGAATTTCATATTGTTCATTAGGCACTTTGCAGTAACAGCGGGGAATATAAACTGCTTAGGAATCAGTTTTAAGTACCTTTTTCATGTGTTAATATCGAGGGTGTTTATTTTGACTTTGTTTCTAAGTTTGTGTTTGTTTTGCAATTCCAACACAAATGTAACAAATGTTTCTTGTGTGTCTTGTTTCCTTTCTGACGTTTGATGTATTGTTTTCAAAAGGCATTAACTGTAACAGTGATGCTAACTATAGCTAATTGTTATTTTAGCTGCTGCTTACATAGCAGGTTGTTTTGAGCATTGTTAATTCTGTCACCATTTCTGGGTGTTCAGGTGAATAAAGGTACTTCCTATGAAAAGTTTTTTTGCTTTATTTTTTCCCCCCAAAATGGCTGTTTTAGCTTTTAGCTTCATCCATTTTTACAACACAAAGGCCAAGCACAAAGGTCATAGTCATCCCTAAAGTCTAAGCAAGAGCACTTTACCATGAATAAAAGGGAATATCCACTGGGATACAATTTGCAGCAGGTACAATTTCTGCTGCATGTTAGGTAATTGGCAATATGCATTTAGCAGAGGAACAACAAGGATCATCCATGCATCTAAAAAATGGGCTTTTGGAAGAACTAAATGTATTTGTGTGTTTATATATATTGGAACGCCCGTCCTTAGAGGTGGAGATTTCAGATTCAGAAAGTACTCTGACTGTGACTCTATACACAACTGGTTGGTTGAAACAAAATCTTGGTCTGGATTTGTACTTCCTGAACCTGAACTTTCCATCTCTGCCTGTCCTTGAAGAACATACAGTACTATGAAAATGTTTCAAAGACATTTAACTAGGTAGTAAGCGTATATTTGCTAAGAAAAATACAACAATAGAACATATGCAAATTAATAGTAAAACACAATAAAAACTAACAAGAATTTCTTTTCTTCCCCAAAAATTTCTTCTCTATGTTCTCTCCATTTGTGGGACTGCTGGAACACCATGTCAGTTACCAGACCTCTCCTCAGGGGCACCTCAGCCATACCATGTTTTTTTTTTTTAAATGTGTGAATGTGCCCTGCGATGGGTTGGCACCCCATCCTGGGTTGTTCCCTGCCTTGCGCCCGTAGCCTCCGGGATAGGCTCTGGACCCCCTGCTACCCTAAATGGGACAAGCGGTTACAGAAAATGGATGGATGGACAGATTTAACGTCGAAGAGCCTGCCAGCTTGCAGTATTAATATAAACACTAGGTGGCGCTGCTGTGCGGCTGCTTTTGTTTCCATACCAGGAATTAAATGGACACGTTTGGAGCAGAATCGACCCCTTATTGCCATGCAGTGAACCTCCTGAAACTTCTTCAGCTTGAAAGGAGCAGATTTCCCTGTACTGGTTCATTGGTTCCTGACCACCAGATGTGCCAGATTTTTCTTAACGAGAGTGCCAACCTCTAAATAATGTTACCATCTGGTGCTGCCTGCACTATGTGGTGGGGGGGGGGAGATTATGCACCCATCCTGAGTCAGTACCTAGCCTTGCAGTTGGCTCAGTCCTGGGGGGGGGAGGAATGATAGGCATGGGTGGGGTGTTATTTTTATCTGGGTGAGGCTTGTTCACCCTACATGGAGCGCACGGTGCTCTGATACAGCCCACATGCAGGATGGCTGTGCCCCCCCCCCACTCACTGCCCCTGGAGGCTATGATCCTGACCACATAGCAGTCGCTTCCCAAGTAAGTACCTGTAGTGCGTTATTATCTGCAGCTGCATGTTATTGTGAGATAATATGACCCAGGCTGCCGTTTGCTCTTATGTGAGAAGGACTGTTAGTAACAAAACTAACAAAAGTAAAGGTGCCAATGTCATTTTACAAGGTTTTTATATGTAATATTATTCATTACTCAGTGTATGCATATTGCTGTCTGTGTGTGGTTCACAGCTCATAAAACCATTTTTTCCCCCCATTGTTGAAAGCAAAGAAAATGTCATGCAAATGACTAGTTTTTCCACTTATCTTTAAGGGTTGAAAATCGCTAATGCATTACCTCAGCCACAGCTACTTAATCATGTTGAGTTTTATAGTCTCTTAAAACGTTTCTCTTAACATGTCATTTGTTTTCACATCTCTTTCACATCTTATTTATTGAGTCGCCTCAGCTGCAAATCGCTCCGCTGGCAATCAAACTGCAAATGACACTGCAATCTTAGTAGAATATGCAGGGTAGCATGAAAACTTTTGAAAGATGCTAATATTGCTACAGAATTATATTTTGACGTTTTCCGTGTTTTTTTCTTTTTTTTCTAAAATAGACATTACAAACATATAACATAATGCACAAAATATTATTATGATAAAAATATTTTTAAATTTAAATATGATTTAATTGTCAGGTGCAAAAAATGACTAATTGAAGACATTACTGGCCTATGACACAAACTAATGTCACAATACTTGTAATAGAAACATCTAACAATACATTACCATCAAGGACCACCCATTGCCTTCAAACTAGCTTCAGTCCTTCTGGAAATGCCGTCGTACAAGTCTTGAACAGTTTGTAGTAGGACCAATCAAGAAGAAGCAAAGCCTGCATGTCTCTAAGGGGTTAAAGAAGTGGAAATCTATTTTGCGCTCAGCACTCCAAAACATCTCACAGAGATTCAATGGGGTGTAGATGTGGTGATCTGGGAGATGTGGAAGATGCGTGACTCAATCCTAACATCTTAAGGGAACTGTGCTTGCTCCTGATCCTGTAAAATGGCCTCATCTTCCTTGGCTGTTAAACGACCCGGCAGAACATTCAGCTGATTAATGATTTCACCAAGATGGCTACCCATACCTAGAGAAAAAATAATAATGGTGACTCATCAAAACATATGCATTTTCTTTTGATTGCTCAGGCATCCTGGTTTTGATTTCCTTATCCTGTTAATTCATCTTTGTACCCTGGCCTTGGATTCAACTGGTTCCTGAATGCTAGCCCTGCTATCAATAACTGCTTGCAGCAATGGGCTCACCAGCTGTAGGAGGGGCCATAGGGGTCGGGTGCAGTGTGAGTTGGGCAGGGGCCGAAGGCGGGGACCTTGGCGGTCCGATCCCCGGCTGCAGAAGCTAGCTCTAGGGACATGGAATGTCACCTCTCTGACGGGGAAGGAGCCTGAGCTGCTGCGCGAGGTGGTGAGGTTCCGACTAGATGTAGTTGGGCTCACCTCAGTGCATGGCTTGGGCTCTGGAACCAGTCTCCTTGAGGGGGGTTGGACTCTCTTCCACTCTGGAGTTGCTCATGGGGAGAGGCACCGGGCGGGGGTGGGCATACTTATTACCCCCTGGCTGGGCACCTGTACATTGGGGTTTACCGCGGTGGACGAGAGGATAGTGTCCTTTCGCCTTCGGGTGGGGGGACGGGTCCTGACTGTTGTTTGTGCTTATGCGCCAAATGGCAGTGCAGAATAGCCACCCTTTTTGGAGTCCTTGGAAGGGGTGTTGGAGAGCGCTCCTCCCGGGGACTCTCTTGTTCTGCTGGGGGACTTCAATGCCCACGTGGGCAATGACAGTGAGACCTGGAGGGGCGTGATTGGGAGGAACGGCCCCCCTGATCTGAACCCGAGTGGTGTTTTGTTATTGGACTTCTGTGCTCGTCATGGATTGTCCATAATGAACACCATGTTCAGGCATAAGGGTGTCCATATGTGCACCTGGCACCAGGACACCCTAGGCCGCAGTTCGACTTTGTAGTCGTGTCACCGGACTTGCGGCCGCATGTATTGGACCCTCGGGTGAGGAGAGGGGCGGAGCTGTCAACCGATCACCACCTGGTGGTGGGTTGGCTCCGCTGGTGGGGGAGGAAGCCGGTCAGGCCTGGCAGGCCCAAGCGTATAGTGAGGGTCTGCTGGGAACGTCTGCCGGAATCCCCTGTCAGGAGGAGCTTCAACTCCTACCTCCGGCAGAACTTCGCCCATGTCCCGGGGGAGACGGGGGACATCGAGTCCGAATGGGTCATGTTCCGCTGTGACTGTAAGGTGGTCAGTGCTTGGTGCAGCAGCAATACCCGAACCCGCTGGTGGACAGTTCTGGGCACCAAATGTCTGGCCTCTGGGGCTCTACCAATTGTCTCATGATGCTTTGAAAAGTCATATATGAAAAGTCAGCCTTGTAAGGCTTATACCGCTAATAGTCAATATAATATGACCTTTGTAGTGTCTGTTTGTAATTTGGTCAGTTAAGATAAAATCTTTTCATGTGATATTTATATTATTGTGTCCTGTATTTGTATATACAGCCAGATTACATCCCGTCTCTTCAGCGTCTGTAGTTTGGCAGGGCGCATGGGTCTGGAAATCTGCGATTTTGAATTTGCTTAATGCAAATAGTTAAGCGGCACAGCCCAACCTGAGAGAATAACTGCGTTTAATAAGGAAATGTGGATCTCACTTCAACTGTGGCAATCGTCTGAGAGTCTCACAAACAGGGTTGCCAGATCAGGTCACGCATTTACATGTATGTAACAGTTTTATCTCCTTGGGAAAATTTAAGATTCTAACGGGTCTGGATGCTGTTCAGCCAAATGACTATTTCAATATTAGTCTAAATACTAGAACTCGTGGCCATAAGTGGAAATTAGCGGGAGAACATTTTAAAACAAATTTGAGGAAGCACTTCTTTACACAGCGTGTAGTCAGAGTATGGAATAGTCTTCCTGCTATTGTAGTGGAAGCTAAAACCATGGGTTCCTTTAAATCAGAGCTAGATAAGATTTTAACAACTCTGAGATATTAGCTAAGTTCTCCCCAAACGAGCTTGATGGGCCGAATGGCCTCCTCTCGTTTGTAAATTTCTTATGTTCTTATGTTCTTGTAAAGAGTCCGTATGGTTTGCAAACTACCCCAGCGCTTTTGATTATAAGCGTTAGGTTTATGATGGAATAATATAGATTTGGCGTAATATTCCTCGCATGAGTGTGAGAGTCTGAAAGGGTGAGTTTCACGCCAGATGCAGGAGAGTTGGCAACCCGGTATGCCATAAAAAATAAAACACAGGTAACTGTAGAGTGGAGTATTCATTAATGACAGTAAAGAAATGCAAGTCTGAACACTTCTTAGGGCTTATTTGCGAATTGCAAATAAAAAACAATATCAATAGGTGCTTGACTTAGTAGCGTTGCATGTAAGTAGATTTATATGGATCGTAAGATGGAAGCAGTGATGTTCGAAATGACTTTGCTCATATAAATCTGTAGCCTTTTCAACAATTTCAATCTATGATAGCTTTCAGTTACATAAGTCTTGTTCGGGTATCATGGGGTTAGATGCAGCTGCCCCGTGGAAGGAGGTGTGGACATTGGGGGTAACAGATCCGGCGAGCAATCCAACTGCCTTTCAGCATGACAGTGTGACATGTGGAGCCTGACAAAGTGGGTGTTTGTGCACAGTTGCTAGCTTGCGGGCCATCTGAAGTCCTTCGGGGAACAGGTGCATGGAGCAAATCGAGCTGCGTCGTTTGCCTTATGTTAATCAAATGATTGAGGTGTTTTTCTAAGACTCTTTAAGGAAGCGCACAAGGACAACTTAATTTTTAGTACTGATAGATTCGACAAATGGTATCGCTTCTAAAAACAACCGCTTGGGCAGACTTGGGGGATCTCCAAAGCCGACCTAAATCTTAAACCACGATGCAAGGACTGTATTCTGGAATATAGGTATGTTTAGGTCCCTTTTCCGAACAAGCCATACTATATAATAAATGGGTATTGGAGAATACCCTTAGTATAAATTCTTAATAGTAAAATTATATTATTTTATCGATACTAGGAGGAAATTCTGGTGCATATAGCAGCAGGGAAGGTAGAGCACAAATGCAAATATAGTGCAAACAAGTAAATGTGCGGCAAACTATTTAAAATGTACTCAAATACAATTTCCTGAAAAACAAAATTGGAATATTATGGTAATAAATAATCAATGAATAATAGTACATTAGTGGACGGTCTATGTTCAATTAAAAATGGATGACCCCAGAATTTTACTGTAGCCTGAAATTCTTCTGAATCCCATCACAGCCAGAATCAGTGATGTCATGTCATGTGGTTGACGACAGAAGCCATAGTTTCTGCTGTCGGGCTGATGAGTTTCCATTGAAATCTCAAACGGAAGGTTAGTTTGTAATTTGTTATGATACGTAGGTTTTAAGACGGTGTTTGGTTTGACTCCCAAAGGACCTTCCAGTGCTGAAGTGGGGCAGCCTTATGTGAAGCTGTAGAACGTTTTACTATGGCGTGTGCCTGTTGTGCCTTGAGGGTCGAATGACTTGAGGGCAGGTGTTGTATCGAAGCAGGAGGGGTTTATTTGAATTTAAATGAATAGCATATGCAAACAAACTGGGCCATAAGAGATCAAAGCTGGAAGGCTAGTAGATAAGGAAGAGCACAGGCAACAAGAAGGTACAACATCAATGACTGGACTGGGGAACACAGGACTGGGAAGCACATATATATGAGACTAACAAGGTAGCTAACAAGAGGCAGCTGCGAGTGATTAACACAAGGGTTAGGAACGAGAGGTGAGACAAACGAGTAACAGGCGTGGCATGTTAGGGTCACGCTAGGGAGGAGACTGGAGGGCCAGATGGGCATGGTGGGCAGGATGTGACCATCTCATTGTCTGGCCTGGGCTTAATACAGGGTTCTCTATAGATAATAGAATGTGATATCAAGTCTGGAAGATGTTGGTTAAGCTTTTAAACATTGTGGATAAGTTTTCAGTGCATCACTTAAAGATAAACTTGATGTTCTGTTGGCTTTGGGGTTTCTCAAATGTTGAACTACGTAAGCAATATCTGATAAAAAGTGAAGTTTGTGGAAAAGAATAATCAGTGTTTATCCTGGAGTACTTATGAGTTGCTTTTCAATTATGTTTTAGCTCAGGAGTGGGCAATGTGTATCCAGGTTTTGGGGATAACCTTTAGGTCAGCTGTTCAAACCCAGGTGTGAGAGCTCGTCTGTCAATCAGTCCTCTAATTAGTAATCTAATTAGGGAAAATGTCTTGTCGCATAACCTTTACTGATGGTGTCTCTGCCTTCCTGGAAAATCCCTCAGGTGCTGCTTCTAGATGAGGGTCCTACACCTTCACAGCAGCCTCTGTGTGCTTTGGCTGTGTCCTCTGAGCTGGCTTGTGCTGTGATATTTTCCCATAATCCCATATCCACTGCAGAGATGTGGTGTGTTTAGAGTATCAAATTAAAAATGAGATATTTGGTTGCTTACACTGTAGTGTCTAGCTTTGCTGAGCCATGGCTGTGTTGGCTGTGTTGGCTGTGTTGGCTGTGTTTGTTGGCCAGGGCTACAGTCCTCAGTCCTTTTATGTTTAGATTTGCTCATAGAGGTTGGGCAGTTCTGGTCCCTGGGGGGACATCGAGCAGCGGGAGAGAGCGAGGGTCTGATCCGGCGCTAATCGCCATCAAACTTACGCCTGATCTCTCATCCACTGTCATAGTCACTACATAGCTGAAACATCAGACAACCCTAGATCAGCCCGGTTTATGGTTTGTCCCCCACTAATCCCCCCCCCCCCCCGTGAAACTCAGAAAAATGTTTGGTCAGATGCTGTCCCTGCAAAAAACTGGTCTGCTTGTGTTCATTTCAGATCTATTAAAACTGCCCCTTGTCTATCACAGATCAGTGAGTGGATCACATGATAGAGGGTGCCACGAGGGCTGTGATTGGGTAATTGGCATAGATCTGACAAATTGTAAATGAATACAGTATATGCTGCCCTTTCTCTGTCCATTCCAGGGTGTTAAAGATCTTCTTAGAGAGTGCAAGGCGCACTCACTGGGATAGGAGTAGCTCCAGTTTGCAGCGCTTTGGCTCTGTTCACTGTGTGCAGACTCTATGTGCATGTCAGATAACATTACTAGATTAGGAGCTGATGAGCCACACCGTGGCCAACTCCCCCCGCCCCCCAACCAGTCATGTGACCCTGCCCGCCAGGAATCACAGACCACTGGGAAGCACTCTGTTTCTGGCTGAAATACATGCTGTAACGGCGAGGTCACCCAGCCTCCCCCCTGCCACACACACACACACACACACACACACACACACACACACTCCTGTCTCTCTTTTTTAAGTTAAGCCGGATGTGGACCTGAGCGGGGAATCGGAGGAAGGTAGGGCTTGTTCTAGCTACGCTAATGTCCGGGTTCTGTCGCGTAAGGGCTCAAGGCTGTCATCCACGTGTATCTTTATCGTATAACTTTATCAGGGAGCCGATGTGGAGTTCCCTTTCCTGCTGAGAATGACACGACTTCAGAGCCTGTGACACAGAGCCGTTGTGTAATTTAATATGAAGACTGACATCTCCCAACGGGACAAGTGTTGCCGGCGTATTTGGAGTGTGCACGTGTGTGCACGTGTGTGCACGTGTGTGCACGTGTGTGCACGTGAGGCCTGTGTTGCATAAACCCCCCCACAGAGATTACGGGGGAATAGGTGTCATCAGGCAATCTTTACGATCAACTCTACCGATGGTAGTTGTTTATTAAGATGCAGCCTGCAGTTGTTAGTCTCCGAGAGGTAAATATCCCTTCTTTTACACTTATACTTTTTCACTTACGTTTGTCTGTGCTGGGAACTTGGTGATATTCTTGTTGCTGTTGTCAGTCCTGACCGGGACCGTTGTCCTGACCGGGACCGTTGTCCTGACCTGGACCGTTGTCCTGACCTGGCCTTATTTGTACATCATCTAATTTATGGTGCACTGAGTGTCTGGTACCTGAGTAGGGTGCGTACGCACGTATCCCGGGCCGTCGGAAGACCTCCGCGGTGTCCTTTGCTTTGGCCCTGCGGGTCGTTTTTGGAACGCATGCCGTCCGAATGATCTGTGCGCTGCCGACATTCCCGCTCGGCGCTGAAGACCAAGGCGGCAGATCTCTCAGTTGACCGGTTGCTGCCCTCTTCGTGTAGAGTACCTAATGCGGCAAATGCACCTGTCGGATGGAGGAGAGTCCATTTCTAACCTGGCGGTGGCGGCTTCAGGCCTTTGGCACACGCCATCCTCTGTATCCCTTTTATGCTCTGTCACTATTTTAATTCTATTAGGCAAATGCTTCTTTCGGTCAATGCTTTGTAAGATATTTTACTAAAGTTAAATTAGAGGCAGTTCTAGATTTCTTTTTTTAGCCAATGTAAAGCACCTAATTGAAAGTCTTACAGCTATTAGACCTCGATGTTATTGGCCCAGCTTTGGACGAGGGTCTAGCCAGACGTGCTTGATGCAGCCAGACCGGACCCCGAGCCATCGAGGTGATGAAGTCACCCCTCTACCTTGCCTGACATTTCACAGGCTTGCGTCACTCTGAAGGTTGGCCAGGCCAAGCCGGCATGATATCTTTGTGCCGCTTGTTTGTAGGGTATCTTCACCTTCAGCGATGTGTAGCAGATACATGCTGCATCAGATTTAGCCAGAACACCTTACGGCTGATGTATAATGCAGCAGTGCATGATTTAGGACGGCAATTCTCAACCCATGGACCTATGGACCAGCTTAGTCCAGGCAAGTTCTGAAAGGGTCGCGAGGCAGAGTTGGAAATGTAAGCATTTATAAACCAGCAAGATCCTATGCTGATCCAGGATCAGATTTCCCAGCCCCAATCCTAGTATAAACCTATATAAACGGATCTTGGGTCTGCGAATGCTTAGCACAAAACTAGTGAACACTCAAACAATCCAAGAAACCAAACCACAGATATTTAATTTAAAATTGATTGGCACATCCAATCAGATTTGTGCAATAGGCATTGATTGGCATAAATCGCAGAGTGCACTGCGTGCTTGATCACAGCATTAATGAAAACCTGATACTTGATTTTGGGTCGCAGCTGAGTTGGCATGGCAGCAATTGGGTCGCGGTGCAAAAAAAGGTTGAGAACCACTTATTTAGGGGGTTAGTTTCCAAGCTTACTGAAACCCTGCCATCTAGAAGATGCAGATGATAGGCAAGCAGCGCAGCCAAATCTGGCTGATGTGGCCGAGTCAGAATAGGCTTGATGTTGAGGTTAATAAATGGGATTATATTCGTTTGCAGTTGAACTTTGAGACTTTGTGCTCCAAACAGGATATTGCAGCTAAAATTATTGTAGCCACATGTGTTTATTTTGGGTGGTCTGATCTTAGAGTTTAATACCTGCTGCTTAAACTGCATGTTTAATCAGCAGGTATCAGGCTTGTAACGTGAATGTCCCAGGCAGTTAACATGAATAACTGTCGGGCGATTTCAGCGCTACGGGTGGAACATTTGGACTAATAGTTTGGCGTATAGAACGCCTCACAGCATGGACCGGCTTAGCATCGATGAGTCATTTTGCATATCTTTTCATGTAATCTCTTGGGTAGAATATAGACAAATCCTCAAAATTCATATTTTAATTTACATGTTAGAATTACGTGGCATTTTATCAGTGTTACAGATGTGACATTACATGGACCTTTGCATGGAATATTCGGCAGTAGCATGAGGTAAAACGTGGTCAGGATTGCAGTGATGTTGCACTGCTTTTGCGTTTTACGTCTCTGGCTTAGGTGTTTGTCACCCGTCTGATATATAGATAGATTTGGCAGTAACAGCTGAAATGAACCGGAGTGCTTCGCTTGACCTGCTGTGTGAGGCCTGCCCTCAGAAAGGTCAGCCAGGTCGGTTTGTGTCTTTCTGATGCAGGGGCTGGCATGGGATCGATGGCCCTTCAGTTTATGACTTGGTTTTGCGCAAGAACGCCTTCCTGTCAGTCTTTCTTTAGCTGCGAAAAGAAATGGCAGAGACAGTGCTATATTTTTAGGCTGATGCGCGGTCCGGCAGGTGGTGGGGGTCACGGCAGTCCGGGGAGTGGACACCCCCCACTGTGGAGGGTCTGCCTGTTATTTGGGGAATGACAGTCAGCCAGATGTGGCATGCTGACCTGTGCTTGGCATGTCTGGAGGTTTCATATTAAAAACAAACAAGCTATGCCTCTGTGGGGGGGGGGGGGGGGCGTTCAGCAGCTGGAAAAGTGAGCTTATATACTGGAATCAAAGAATTTATGGGGACTGGGACTGGTTGCTGCATGTTCGATCTCATAGACATGTCGCAAAAACTTTTATTGTAAAAACAGTATAAGATTAGAAAATATTATCAATACTGTCTATCCTTACCTATCTGCAGCTGATATGGGGGGGGGGGCAGGTCACTGCTGGCAGAGTGTAGCTGAAGTCAGGCAGTAAAATGTGACTCGAACCCGGGTCCCAGAGGTGTGAGTGCTAACCAGTGCACCACCATGCCACTTCTGTCTCAGAATCAAAAAACTAACTATTCCAAATGGAATTGTGCAAATGCTTGCATGGTTCATTTTTGTATGAAACAATTTAAATACTAATTAAGAGAGAACCTATGAACTGAAGCATATAGAAGTGGACATTTAAACTAGTCCTCTTCCTGTGCTTCTGAGTTCATTTTTTCATGGTAAGGTTGACTTTTGCATGAAATTGCCGTACTACAAATAATACTATTAGTAGTTCAACTAAATGCTATCAGCAGCAGTAATGTTTATTGCGGCTGCTGAGCCCAGATAGATCAGCTAAAAATCCTCTTCTGTTTTGTCAGCTGTGGGATGGTATCTGTGCTGTGATCGAGGTGACCCAGGACTACAGAGCTCCACTGGACCTAGACTGAGACCTCGTGACCTAGCAGGATTTTGTTAGATGCCCGGCCACTGAGGGGCGCCATTGAGAGCACGAGGGAGAAGCAGGGGGGCAGTACCGGCGTGATGGAAGCCGCGGTTCTGGAGTCCAAGGCCGTGCGGATCGCCCGCTACAAGGCGGAGCGGCGGAGGCAGCTGGCGGAACAGTACGGCATCATCGAGGAGCTGCCACCCAAGCATGTGAGGAGGGAAGCCGGCGAGGTCCCGGAGACGACCGGCACTGGAACTGACAGCCCAGGCAGGCTCGATGGGGGCAGAGCTGCCCTGGATGATTCAGAACCCCTGGTGGAGGAAGCGTACACCCCAAATATTTCCAATGGAAACCATACCATTGGGGGAGTGGCTAGCAGGTGAGCACCGCCCACAGTCAGCGGTCATGGGTCAGGGGTCGGTAGTGGCAGCCTTTGGAATCTTCATTTCCAGTTTCGGAACAATACAGTACCAGCCAAAAGTTTGGAACTCCAACTGAAAACCATTTTTTGTTCAAAAACATAATGAGCCTCAGCACCCCCACAATCCGCCGACCTAAACCCTACAGAGCTGCTTTGGGATGAGTTGGATCGAAGAGTAAGAGCAGGGAGCCAACCTGTGCCCAAACCTTGTGGAAACTCCTTCAGGACTGTAGGAGAAGCATCCCAGGTGGCTACATCTGCAAGCTGACTGAAAGAATTTCAAGTTTGTAATGCTATCCTCAAACCCAAAGCGGGCTGTCTGGAAGAGTCTAAAATTTGAGAAAATATTGAGACGTTGAACAATTGTCTTGGTCATTGCAATATTTGATATGTATTACTTCATTTCCTCAAGGCCTTTTACTATAAGGTGAATAACATAGCTAAAATAGAAAGAAATGCTTTAAAATACATTCATAATGCCTTGTAATGGTCAGTGTAAGCATTAAGGATACTTTGTGCTGCATTATCAAGGTATCTATAGTACATTATAGATGAGAACTTCATAGGACATTCATAATGCATAATAAACATGGCTATAATGTGTTTTTATAGTTATACCCATGTTTATAATACTTTATGAACGTATTATAATGCATTATGAAGGTATGTATTATACTGCTTTAAGTAAAGTGTTACTGTCATTCCTTCAAGCCTTATTCCATCTCTCACCTCCTGCCCCCCCCCCCCCCCCCCCCCCCCCCCCACTTCTGCAGGGAGGTGTCTGATGGCTCCGGCGGCCCGCATGACAGTGGAAACCGCTCGCCGGAACCTCTGGCCGGTCACGTGCCGCAGCTGCAGACGCGGGTGTCCGTGGGCCACCTGAGGAGCACGCTGATGCAGCAGACCCGCGGCAGGATCCCGGGCCACAGCATGTAGGTGTTACCTTGCTCCGACACTAGGGGGTGCCAGTGCAAGTTTCAAGACATCAAGGTCACTCAGCCACGAACCTGAGGGGTGTACTACAGAAGGGGTGTTGTCAGTTAACACTGGGTATATAAAAGCTGCTTTATAGTTTACCCCACTGATCTACTGTTTTACCACACAAGCACATTTTGCTTACTTATGAAGATTATGGGCTTGTAATAAATACAAGTACTTACTGTAAATCAGTATTTTTATTGTAAATTTGTAGAAAATTTGATCCATTTTACAATAAGGCAGTTCAAATCTATAGTCAGCTTGCGTAAAATTTGGTCTCTTTCTGTTAAATCAGTCAGTTATAGCTGTACATGATAATGAACAACTGTGGTGGACTTGGTGTCTTTATTTTAGATCTACTCTCTGAAACTCTCTCTGAATAATTTTTTTACTTGTTGACACTGACAGTCCTGGTGTTGCAGTTCTATGTATACCCATGATGGCCTGTAGGTGGTGCTGTATGCGGATCCTGCAGTTCTATGTATACCCATGATGGCCTGTAGGTGGTGCTGTATGCGGATCCTGCAGTTCTATGTATACCCATGATGGCCTGTAGGTGGTGCTGTATGCGGATCCTGCAGTTCTATGTATACCCATGATGGCCTGTAGGTGGTGCTGTATGCGGATCCTGCAGTTCTATGTATACCCATGATGGCCTGTAGGTGGTGCTGTATGCGGATCCTGGAGATTTATGATCCTCCCACTCTCCCGTTCCTCCTTGTTGTCCTCCTATGGCCTCGTGGGCAGGAGCGCGGATGGTGGTTGTGTCTCCTCCTCCCTTGACCTGGCCGCGAAGCCCGGGTCCGAGGGGAGGCGCCGCCCTCGGCGATACCTCCCAGAGGGTGACGGCGTGGGCCGCAAGACCAGCGAACGCTTCCGGACCCAGCCGGTCACGGCCGGCGAGATGCAGGACAGCCGCGGGTACAGAGCCGCCCGGGGAAGGAGTGCCGTGTCATGTGACTAATTTTGAATTGTGTGAACGTGTACTGAAAGAGGGCCTTGCTTGTATCTTTCATTTGCTTTAAATTGACTTTTCAAGTTATACACCTTTGTAGAAATAATATTAGACCATGAGTTTATCTGAAACTACTATACATTACTTCTCATTTTGTGGTGGTCATCTAAAAATACAGCTGATTGGATAAGGCAGTATGTATGGGTCAAATGCCATTGATTTAACCCTGGGGGGGGGCACTTTCAGAGCACCTCAGTCCTTCCGTAGATGTAATGGTGGGATTGTGTCCTCTATCGCCCCCTGCTGCTGGGAAAACCATATTCTGCCAGTGTGCCTGGGAATCCATGGTGCTGAGAGCAGCATGTATCACAGAGCCGGTGCCAAAAAGCCCAGGGTGTCACGGTAACGCTGGCTGACTCCTTATTATTTTCATCTTATTCCCATTTCAGCTCTTTGGAGATCGACAAGCTGGAAAATGTGGGAGGTGAGTCCTCTAATCAGAGGGGTGTCGGGGTTTTTCTGTCTAATGTACTGCTTTCGGTCTTTGTGATGCGCCGTGTTCCTGGTTCCTGGTTAAAATGGCTGACTGGGTGGGCCTTGGAGAGACCCCTCCAACCCCAAAAAATGTCCCTGTGGGCTTTTATGTCCCTCCCAGTTTACTAGCTACCAGAGACAGCAGCTAAGCTAATCGGTGTCCCAAAATTCTTCGTTGTGTGTGCGCAGGCGTGTCCTGCGATGGACTGGTACCTGTCACTGGTGTTCCCCTCCTTTGTACCCTATGCTGCCTGGGATACCCAGTGGTGGACTTGTAGCAATATTTTAGTGATGGCCGAACGAAGCTTCATGAACCATTTGCTGTATTTTCTGACGTCACTAGATGGTGCTCTTGGCTTGCTTTGGGCCCTTGTATGAACATAGAGCACCATCTAGTGGAGTCAGAAAATACAGCTTCATTTGGCCATCATTATGATATTTCAATTGGAATGGTGGGGGGGTCAAATCTTTGTGGAAGGGGGGCTGCCTGATGTTAAAATCTGGCAAGCACACTGGGTGTAGGGTCTCGTACATTTACCTTTATGTGACTGAAATTGCACAAAACGTGTATACAAGTCTGATATTTCAGTGCTTGCAGGTCATAACGACTGTTTTCCGCTGTTGTTTGCAGCCGATGTGAAATCTGATGACAAAGCCGAGATGAGTGTCGCTGCCAAGATGTCTCTGTTTAAAGTGAGTGCCCCTCCACACCCCCCACCCCGCCACGCCACTTCCTGTCCACTCAAGCCAGCTCTGAAGGTCATAGTTACGGCCAAAGGAAAGATTTATTTGGCATGGATGCTTTTATCCAAAGCGATGTACATTTTTTAAATAAAAAAATTAGTTAAGTAAACTATCAGTGATAGTTGTTCTTTCAGTCCCAGGGCTGCTGCAGTAACCTGCAGTCCCCCCCCCCCCCCCCCCCCCCCGGTCGTCTTCCCTCCCCACCTCCCCTGGCTCCTTGTTGGCCTTGCATTTAACTGTCATTATATGAAATCAGATTTATGTTTTTATTGTGGGGGAAATGGGGCAAAGTTTATGGCCGAGCCCCGTGGTCAGGGTGGGGTGTTGGTATGGGGGCACAGTGTGCTCTGCTGGGGTGCACATTCTGTGGAGGGGGGGGGGGGGTTAGGGTTAGAGGATGAATGACTGAAAAAGGAGATGGGACCAAAAGATAAGCAGGGGTTTGAGTGGAAACCCTCACTACTAGCTAGTTCTGGTAGTCTAGGTGTGATTCTTCCTAATAAGCCCATTCATTGACACTGGCATCGGCAAGGGGTGCTAATTAGTTTCACCCCCCCCCCCCTCCCATGTGTACAAATACGATCACAGACCCTCGCAGTAAAAATGGCTTTAGGGGCCGAGAGTAACGGTACACCCTAAGCTGGTCCATTGCTAAATTTATCTGCCTGTCGCTAAATTGATCTGCCCTGGGGTGATTTTAATACCCCAACCCCTGCCTCTTCTCACTGACATTGCTTAAGTCCTAATGGAAGAGCAGGGAAGTCCAAATGGCCCCCATCTGTGATGCTGGCCCAAGCTCCCCCCTTGGATTACCTGCTACCCTGCTCTGCCACACCAAGTCAGGGCTTTCCAGTCTTCTGTGCCCCTTCACTCTGCCTCTCTGTCCCTGGGGGTGACCTCAGTCACCCTGCTCTGGGGGAAATCACTCTTCAGGACGTCCCAGGTATCAGGGTTTTAAATTAGGAAAATAAAACAGAATGACATGGTTTAGCCAAAACATTCTTACACTCGGTACTAATACCCGTATCGGTTTGAAGGTCTTGAGGTTTCCCTGAGCGGGATCTGGTTTATTTATAGCATGTGCACCTATTAATGAACTTGGATGTATGACCTGAATGTGGCAGGTTCTGGCTGAGCAATCAGAATCCCCTCTAAGGCAGTTTTTAGTATAATAATGATAATAATTAATAACCGAGCAGAGTGTTAATTTCAGTTAGTCAGGGCGGGATGGCGACCGTGACTGCAGTGTCGGTGCCGTGGATTTGCATCTCCGTAGGAGCTGGAGAAGACGGCTGACGCTGAGAGCGGCTTCATTCCGCGGCCTCAGGAGCGCCGGGCTCGCCGTGCGGCCGGACAGAGGGCGCTGACGCAGCTGGTCACCGGCGCGGATGTGGCAGAGGCCGCCAGGTGGGTGCGGGTCACGTGGAGGGACCTGCTACTGACCGGTCCTATAATGTGTGGCACGCTTGCGTTTTGGTCGATTGTTTTAGTAGGCCGGTTAATTCACAACATAGTAATCAGAAGAAATTATATTCAAACTTTAAGGAATTAGCCCTGTTATTGCAAATAGAGCAATATTTTCAAATATTTTTAGGAGCATGGATTGCACTAGGCTGTCACACACATTTTCACTTACAGAAGAAGAATCTGCTGTGTGCCTCACTTGTTGAAGCCCTTTGTCATTTAAGCACATTTTATGTCATTTCATTTTATTAGGCAGTCAGTGCCTGAAATGACAGAAGAAATGTTATCAGAAATCAGAGATCTGTAGAGCGGAAGGTAGATGCATTAGATGCTTCCTGAGATTCACATTTTGTCACCATTAGCATGATCATCATCAGTACTAATTATTTGTTTTTGAATCCGTGGCATTCAGTTGTCTGGCAGGTTGTCATGGCGATTGTTCCCAGGGCCTGTGATAGGTGTTGCAGGTGTCTCTGCTTTGCCGATTTCCACTACAATCGCTTCATCCAGGCTCCAGCCAAGCATAGACGGGCAGCTCGCGGGCCTGGAACTGCTCGTAATCGTCCTCCGCTTTACACCTCCGCTTGGCCCTCTGTTCCCGTGTGGTCCGCCTGTGCGTTGGGCAGAATTCCGACAACCTCCACGCCTTAAGCGGCCACAAGCGGCCAAGCCCTCGGCATTATGGCAGCAGCCGATACAAATGCGGCGAGCTGCTAATTAAAGAAGTGACGTGGGGCGACAGCCGCCCGGTTCGCAGTGCGGAGCAGGTGTGTGTGAGGGTAGCCAAATGGCCCTTTGGGGACATGGTACAGCGATGGCCCTCTGGGGTCCTGGAGTTCCGTGCAGCTGCGGTGCAGACGCCTGATTGTAAATTACGTCCTTCCCTGCACCTGTGCTCCGGCGTGCCCTTGCACTCCCAATTTGTCCCTTCAACAATGCCAGTTTCCCTCCGGCCTGCTCTATAAGCACTCGATGCCTAATTTCAGTTTTTTTTGCTTTTCCATTTTCCATGTATTATTATTATTATTGTAATAATAATAAGTATTTATCTATCTATTGACTCTACAACAGTCTTTTTCAGGATGTTTTATTTCTGTATGGTGTACTTCTAAATTTCCACCCTGTTTCCTTGTTGTACTGTCTTTGGGTTTTCCTATCTAATGTACTGCTTTCGGTCTTTGCGATGCGCCATGACAGCACGGCTGAAAACATTCCTGGTTAAAATGGCTGCCTTGGCGAGAACCTTTATATCCCAAAAATGTCCCTGTGGGCTTTTCCACAGTTATACTGTCAGTCAGCCTCTGTAAATAACTTAGGATTTATGCTTGTTTGCAGGCACTTTGTTTATTTGGCACTATATATATATATATCCATCTGTGCGCACCATTCTCGCTGCTGGGCACAGCAGAATTTCCCATTGGGATCAGTAAAATCCAGCTTAATCTTAACTGGAAATAATACATAGAAATTAGCAGAGAATATGCCTAATTTGCATAAAAGTATTAAGAGCATTATCCAACCATCTGTTTGCTGTAATCCGATACCGGGTGGCAGGGAGCCTAGCCCATGTCAAGACACACACCTACGCTCTGTGGGCAATTTGTGGACATTAAGCAAACCCTGAAAAGTCAGGCAATAGTGCTGAACGCTGAACCACCTGTTATGTTTATATGCCGAATTTGTATTTTTAGCCCTGATGAGTTGTATATCATAAGTTAATTTAACATTAAAACTTAAAAATTCATTTCCAAGTCTCTCCAAGGCAGCAGCCCTGGAAGAAGTCGCAAGCAAGGGGGCCGGTCAGGAAGAGCAGCTGCCCGAAGAAGAGGACGAAAGCTCCAAGCTCTCCATGAGCGAGAAGCTGGCCCTTTTCACCAAGCTGGCCCAGCCGGCAGACAAGGCCAGCCCCGCACCTGGCGTGCCGGAGAGACGGCGCCAGAAGGGGGCGCGCTATCGCACGCAACCCATCACCCTTGACGAGGTGGACCTGGTGGGTGCGAGCTTTCCCTCGGAGTAGAAATGGGAACACAGAGATGAGAGATGATCACTCACAAACCAACATAACTGCAGTTAATGTTATGGTACCAGTCGAAAATAGCCAGAGGAGAAAGCAGGAGAGGAAGAAACATCTACTAATGATACCTACTAATGGAGAAGAGAGACCTCTGGGAGTCCAAACCTAATTGGCTGTCCAGCTTCCTTGGGCATCCTAGCCTTGTACAATGTGGTGCATGTGTTGTAGGTTCCTCTTATATGTGTGATTTGTGAGTACAGGCACTTGCAGAGAAGTGCTTCCTCAAATATCCATTCCCTGGCTTGACTATGGAGACCCCTAGAGGATAGGAATGGAATTGCTATTAAATGGCAGCCCTACTGTGAAATTTGAAATATTAATAAATTGGGTTTAAATCTTTCCAACAGCTTCAGAAAAGTCCCTTTAGGTTGCCTCCCCTGCACCTTTCCAGCCAGCTCTCTGATAGGCAGCAGGCCCTGTCCATCAACCTGAAGCCCAGTGAGATTCGTGAACATTTGCCCTTGCCCAGTGAGCAACCTGAAGAGCCCTGTCCACCATTGGAGGAATCCATAAATCAGCAGAAATCAGAGTCACTGGAAATAAAGGGAATCTTGAAAAAAATTGGGGAGACTGCGTCCTCAGTCTGCTGCGTGGTTCTCCAAGAACAGTTGAAGGCAGAAGCTGAAATCGACCAGCAGAGGGTGCCAGAGATGTCGACGCAGGATCGAGGAACAGAGGAACTGAAGGAAGAGAGAGCAGGGCAGGGTGCAGGAAATGGGGCTGGAACTCACACTGCTCTAAGGGACAGTGGAAAAAGGTTGACAAATACCACTGTACCAGCATCTACCGCCCCCTGGAGGCAGAGGGGAGGATCTGCGGTTTCCAGTTCAAGGGAACATGTGAGAACCACCTTGTCCAGTCAGAGGGGAGTGAACAATAATATTGAAGGCAGCCCAAGGGACTCCGACAGAGACAGGTATTGACATGAAGCCAGGTTTTAGGGATCACTATTCCCTTTCTGTGGGGCCATCTTTTATGTGTGTGGCATTTTTTTAAACTGGATTTTAGTGATGGACAGATCGAAGTGTTTACAAGACATGCAACTAGGTGAATTAGTGTTTTCTTAGTTGCTCCGTGTATGATTGTGTGTGTCAGTGTGTGTGTTCTGGCCAGGATGTCTCCTGCCTAGCGCCCCCTGCTGCCTAAAAGAGGCTTCAGCATCACATTGACCCTGTACTGGATAAGTGGTTGGAAGCTGGATAGAAGGAAGTCAAACATATTGTTTCTTAACTTAAGTCATGTTGACCTTGGGGAATGATTAACTACCCTATAGGCTGAGGTGGACATCCCTAAAAAGACTCAGGAACTGAGCGCGTCCATGATAGCCTCTGTTTGCGTTTTCCCTTCCCCATTGAGTGTCTCTGTCCCTCGACCAGGCTGACAGACCGTAAGGAAGGGGAACTGAGAGAGGGTGACGTCGAGAAACAGGCCCCACCGTCTCCGACTCAATGCTGCCTGGAGGCTGACAATGCCCGGGCGCCGAAGGTGGGTTTGTGGTGCGTGCAGTTTGGCGGAGGAGTGCGCTTTCTGCCTGTGCATTTTCGAGGAGGGGGGAGGAGAGCTGGGGGCCTCAGAATGGGAAGGTTCAGCAAGAAAGATTTTTATTCACAAAAAAATCCACCAAACATCAATAGCTCTTTAATGTCAATAATCAAAACAGACAGAACAGAGATTTGTGTACATATAGAGGATTAGCTTCTGTTTCCCTGCTGCTATACTGTAGACCGGCTGGCTTTTATTCCGTCTGCTTATCTCTGATTGGAGCTGGTCAACATTAACTGGTACGGGGGAGCTGGTGCTAAACCAGTCAGTGTCGGGCAGTTCTGGAGAACTGAACCCTGGTCTGTGGTTTATTACCTTTCACTGGATCCCAACAGTCAGTGTAAATATTCCAAAATATGGGAGAAGTGAATCTCTGGTGTAATTTGCTGACTTCACGCTGCTCGTCGACTTTCATGATGAGGTTTCTGGCTCCCCGTCTCTTTCACTTTGACTGTTTACGCAGTGAACAATGCATTCATTCAGAGCCTGATTGTCCAGATTGCAGAGAACCAAGAGCAGGAGACTTGGATCCCGTCCCAGCAGCGGACATCCACTATAGGATACCAGTCAAAAACTCTAGTAGCGATTTAGACATGACATCAGATAACTGGCATCCCATCCAGGGTGTGCCCCACCCGCCGTGTACCTGACCAGGAAATGCAGTTTGAAGATGGCATTGGGTCGGGACTGCCGGAGGAAACCTGCATGAACTTCACATAGACAGACCCAGAGATGAGATTTAAACCCAACCCCAACCTCAGAGCTGTAAGAAACACCATGTTTCACAGCATCTATTGCTCTAGCTGAATATATTATGCTCAGGTTCTGTGTTTCTTTAACGTTAGTGGCCGGTATTGCTGTGCTTGTAATGACGCCCCCACCCCCATCTTACAGGGTGATTCTGGCATGATGGTGGGGAATTTGCCAAGTAGACTGCTGCTGTGATGTTTCACACCCGCAGTGTCTTCCTCTATGGTTTACCCTCTCCTTGCTCCTTATTCCTGCTATTTTCTCTGTCTCTCTCCATGCTGCCCCCTGTAGGCTGACAGTGATATTGCCAGTGATTCCCCTGGCTCCGCCCTTTGCTGGGTAAGATTGTGATTTGGTCAGTCTTTACAGGTAGCATGCATCAAAAACCAGTATGAGCCCTTTTCCATGCTTTGGTGTTACTCGCGCTCAGTTGTTGGTTTTACAGGCTCTGTAGTAATCCATATATATTTTTTCTTTATTTTAGAGGCATCGTTTTTGAATAAATATCTGTTTTTATTAACATTCACATCTCCTCAGTCCTACACACGACCCTATAGGACCACACTGCCCCCAGCTCAGTGGCGGAGATGGGGGGTGGTTACGTCTAACCAATAACCTGCCCCCACCCTCCCCTGTACCTGTCCATCCCAGGAACCTGTCCTCTCCTCCATCTTCACATCCGCTAACAGCACATCGCAGTATGTGATCCGTTACAACGAGGTGAGTGTGTGTGTGCGTGTGTGTATGAAGGGTGTGAATGTCAAGGCATGCTTAAACACGTGAGCATGCGTACAACATGCATGCACAAAACATAGAACAGATAGTATGTGTTTGTGTTAGAGATGCATGACGTATCAGTTAACATATCGGTATCGCTGAAAATCAAGACGTCGGCATTGGTCTGTGTCTACAAGATGATGATGATGTAAGCGGATCCTTCCTTCCAGGGACATCAACGCTCCCTGCATGTGCATGGGCTGGGAGGTGCTCCCACTGTGGGTTTCCTTCAAGGAGGGTCTGCATACACCTCCTATCGAAGTCAGCAGAGGGGCGCCCCCTGGAGGCCGACAGACCACAAAGCAGCCCACACAGATTCCACCCACGGCTAATGAAGCTTGCTGGATATTTATAGACGTGTAACATGTATATGATGCCTTTATGGAATTAAGCCCTGCGGGGCCTCGAAGTGCATTTGAGAAACACTAACTTATTCTGATTCACAGTCATTAGCATAATTATGCTCCTGGAATGGAAATCAGATGGCTTCCAGCGGTATAAATTGAGAGTTAAGTACTTTTTCCTGACACTTTTATTGTAAATAATCCGCAAATAATTTTGCGGGCTTCACGCACCGCTGGATAAATACCAAAGATCTTTTGTCTTTATTTTTGTTTTTTTAACTTTTGTAATTGCACCCCCAACCCTCCTTGGGATTTTATCCTTCAGCTGAACTGTACCACACTAACGGGCGGATGTTTTATTGTGACGGTGAGGTAAACGACCTGTTGACGAGGCCCCCTGGGGGTGGAGACATGGGGGGGGGGGAAGGAGGTGTGCTTAGGGGTTGGAGGTCAGCCGTGAGGAGGCAGCAGCAGGGGGCTGGCCTGTGGGCCACACCTGACGCTTGAACGTAACGATGACTTATTTTGAAATAACCTATGTTTGTTTTTAGAAGGATAACAGCAAAACGAAACACACTTCATTGCAAATGCCGCCTCTGTGTTGTAGTATTTCATACACAGACACACTATTGAATGGTTGTTTTTTGCCGTTTAAACTAATTATGTATCGTTGGGTCACTGTTTACCTTCCATGATCCATTCAGACTTCAGGTAACAGGATGTTTTGCCTGATACCCTCCGCTGATCCCTCCTCTTCCTCTTTCTCTCTGCTTGAACTGATTTCTGCTACTTTTTGGTAATATGGCCGCAGGCGTGAAATGAATGTTGTTTTTCCCCCGCTGTTCTAAACACCCCTGTGACCCTGTACTGGACGTGTGATCGGAAGACGGACGCTATCGACCAGGGTCTTTCTGTTCAGCTTCTCTCTTTTTTCCTGTCTGCTTTTTCCAGACCACCCATTCCTACGAGGCGCAGGTGGTGACCTCTGCAGGTCCAAAAGACTCCCAAGCTCCCTCGGGGTCAAAGGTGAAGTAAACTCTCTTACACACACACACATACACGCCAGTAGGGTGTGGCTAGATTATGCTGGCTTCCAAAATGCTACCATTAGTAATAAAAGGACCTTAAGCTCAAACGCAAGTTTTTTTTTTTCTTCTAAACAACATTTAGGTGCAAGTTAGTTTCAAATTTGTCATTTGTACAGTACTGTGCAAAAAGTCTTAGGCAGTCATAGAGAATGATGTTTAAAAATCTTCATATTCGTGTAAAACTGTGCCAATATGTCTATTAGCTGGAACATTTTTAAAACGCTCTCCTAAATTCACCCCAGTGTTTCCAGTAATTTCTGACTCAACCACTAGCACATCTACTATGGCTAATCTATACCTCATTGACTTTTTAGACTATTGAAGCTAATTAAGTGAGCTTGTGCAAAAACTGATCAAATACATGGAGAGGTTTGGGTTGTGAAGTGGTGTTTCATCTAGCCGTCCAACAAGGAATCAGTAACTTTTCGAGGCAAAGAAGAAATTGCTGTCGGTTTTTATTGTGTTACTCTTAATATGCATATATTCTTATGTTAAATCGTGTTGATATATAATATAATATAAATTTACTACATAGATAAATAGCTTTAAACATTTCCTTTGACTGCCTACGATTTTTGCACTGCATTTTTACAATGAGGCAATTACATGCTGGCCTCCATCAAAGAGTAACTAAATTGCATTTTAATTATTTTCAGCTATTCGATTAAAGCCATTTTCTCTTAATATAACATTAAAAGATATTGAGGATGAAAATTGCGTATCAGTTTTGAGTCGACTGTTCATTGATACCCACACTGCATGCTAACATGGTGGCACAGCTGCTGTTGACTGCACAGGTTGCTCTACCTGACGTGTCCATGTTGGAGTTTGCACATGGCCTGCAGGAGCAAGAGGAGCATCGCAGGACCAAGGGTGAGGAGACCTCCAGGAGATCCGTGTTGTTCACCGGGCAGACGGACCTGAGAGGTCAGGGCTGTCTGAGTCACTTTATGATAATTGCCGTTCTTCCCGGGGAACAATGTGAAGAAATGACTATAGCTGGCATTGGGTAATGCATAATGAGGTAGAATTATGCTTTTCCATCTAATAATGAACATTGCCAAGCCGTAAGCTGGCATGCAAAATAAGCACAGTCAAAACAAAATTGTTTGGCGTGTCAGAATCGTTTTGGACGGGGTGCACTTTTTGTGGAGCAGATGGTGTCTATAAGCGTTGAGTTGAGTTTGCGTTGAGTTTAATGAGTTTTTAAGGTGATTCGGTTGCTTTGAAATGATTTTAACAACTGCTCTAACTTAAAAGTTTTGTGTCACTCTGGATTCCCACCCATCTAATCCTCCGACTTTGAAGGCAGAGATTGAGATTCAGTGGGAATCCCTTGAGATTCAATTGGTGATCCCTTGAGATTCAATTGGTGATCCCTTGAGATTCAATTGGTGATCCCTTGAGATTCAATT